GCGATAAGGCACGGATACCTCCTCAACCCTTTCCCTCCCTAGCGCCCCTCTCCCCCCCCCCCTACCAATCCGCTCGCCCGCCCCCCCCCCTCCCACTGCTCACATGCCGCCTCCTCCTGCGGAGTCATCACATGCGTCACGGACCGCCGCGACCGCCGCTCCTCCGCCACCTCCACCTTCTTCTCCTTCTCCTCCTCCACCTCCTCCTTCTCCTCCACCTCCTTCTCCTCCGCCTTCCCCTTGTCCTCCGTCCCTTCCGCCGCCCCCGCCGCCTGCCTCCTCGCCCTCCGCGCCTCCGCCGACCTGCGCCCCGCCTCCCTCAGGTTCTGCCGTCCCGCCTGCCGGCTGGCCCCCGCCACCGCCGCCAGCAGCTCCCGCAGCTCACCCGCGGGCAGCAACCCCGAGTCGAAGCGGCTGCGCAGGAGCTGACGAACTCGCTCCAGCTGGGGGGGTAGGGAAGGGAGGTGGGAAGGGATGAGAGGGTAAAAGGTAATAATACGGGGGGAAGGAAAGCAAAGGAGGGCAGCGCTTGTAACCACGTGCCGAACCTGCTGACAAACGCTTCCCCTCACAAGCAGCCTACCCCACCCTATGACGCCCCCCACTTCCCCACACCCCCCCACCAGCGGCTTCCTGGCCCGGTAGTCCCGCTGCATCAGCTCCGCCAGCAGCCGCCCGCCCAGCTCCTCCGCCGGCAGCCCTGCCAGCTGCTGCGCCTGCAAGTAGGCGGGGCTGGTGCGCCGGGGGGCGCGGAGCCGGGCGGGCGGGGGCGGGGGCTGCTGCGCGGTGCGCCCCTCCGCGGGGCCCTCGTCCTCGCCCCCGGACCCGCCGCCGCTTGCCACCCCGCCCTCCTCCTCCACCTCCGCCTCATCCTCCTCCTCTTCGCAGTCCGACTCAGAGCCGGGAGCCGAGGAAGCGGAGGCGGCGGCCACCTTCAGCGGTGCGGCCCGGCTGCTGCCCCCCGCCCCCCCCGCCCTCCCCGCCTCCGCCGCCTCCCTCAGCAGCGCCCGCCAGCTGCGCGCCAGAGCCAGTGTGGCCTGCCGCATCACCTGCACCGCGGCAGCCACCTCAGCAGCGGCCAGCTGACCCTCAGCGGCCATCCTGGGGGAGAGGGGGAGGGATGGCCGCGTCAGTCCCCTTCCGCAGCCTGCTACAGCTTGCGTGTCTCAGTGCGAGGCGAGCGACACAACACAACACAACTTCCCTCTACCCACCTCCCCCGCCCCTCCCCGCCCCTCCCCTCCCCTCCCCGCCCCCCCCACCTGTCCAGCGAGTCCTGCATCTTCCGCTTCACCGCCTTGCGCGCCCGCGGCACCAGCGCCCGCCACTGGGCCTGCAGCTGCCCCGCGGCCCACTCCCGCTCCGCCGCCGCACGCCGCCAGAAGTCGGGTCCGGGCAGCTGAGCGGCCTCCGCAGCCGCCTCCGCCTGCGCCACCTCGTCCACTGACTCGGGGGCGCCCTTGCGCTGCAGGGACGTCTGAGGGAGGGTGCGGTGAAGGGTCGCAGTGAGGCACCGGTACGCCGGCACCCGCCCCCACCGCGACCCGCCTCCCATCCCTCCCAACCCTACCACCCTCCACCCCACCCACCTCCAACCCCCACCCACCTGCAGCGCCGCCCTGCGTATCAGCTCCTCCGCCCGCTGCCGCCCCTCCCGCCCCACCATGCCCACCTCCGCCGCCCGCCCCAGGTTGCGCCGCAGGTTCTGCAGCTGCGAGCTCTTGTGTGAGGCGGGCAGCGCCAGCCACACAGCGGCCAGCCGGGACACCACTGCGGCCGCGCGGGAGGACTCGCTGTCGGACCCGGCAGCGGCGGCACCAGCAGCGGCATCAGCACTAGCAGCACCAGCAGCGGCAGTGCCAACCGCGGCCGTGTCGGCCCCCAGCACCAGCTGCAGCAGCTCGTTGTCTTGCAGCTGCAGTACGATGATGGCATTGCGTACGACAGAGTCCCCCTCGCCGTGCGCCTCCCTCTGCAGCACGCCGCACGACAGGGCCCGGTCGAGCTTGCGACGCACCCTGCGTGTCACGGCGGCGCGCTCCTCCTGACCCATGGGTCGCAGGAAGTCCGCCAGCTGGCACGCCCGCGTGTAGCGGTCCATGTCCCGCCGCAGCACATGCTGCACCAGCGGGTCCTGCTGGGACCAGAGGGGAGGGGAGGCGGGGGGAGGGAGGAAAGGCGGAGGCGAGGTCAGGCGCATTAGCAGCAGGGGCCCTGAACCCCCTTCACCCTACCACTGCCCTCCTGCGCTGTTGTCACCACTCACCAGCACCACACGCACTACCTGCCGCCACTACCCGCCAACCCACGCAGCGGCCCCGCCCCACCAGCCACCCCCTCACCCCACACCCTGGCACCCACCGTCAGTGGCCCCCGCGGCGGCTGCTCGCCCCACCCCTCCTCCTCCGCCTCCTCCTCGCCCCCAGGCGCCCGCAGCCCCAGCACCTCCGCCAGCCGCCCCGCCCGCAGCCCCGACAGACCCGCACCCAGGCCCGCCGCAGCAGCCGCCTGCCGGCTCCGCTCCGCCGCCTCCTCCGTCTCGCTGTCCGACCCACTCGCAGCCCAACAGGGGTCCCCACCGCTGTCCCCCACATGCGCCCAGCCCTCCCCGCACGCGTCCACCGCATCATCACAGCCGCCCCCCGCCAGCCGCCGCTGCCGGGCCTCATGGTAGGACTGGATGGCCGCCGCTGCAGCCGCCCGCACCGCTGCCGCAGCCTGCTCCGCAGGGCCCTCCCCGTCGCCTTCATCCCCACCCTCTCCACCCTCCTCCTCGTCACCACCGCTGCTGCCGCCACCCCCACTGCCGTACACCTCCGCCAGCCGCCGCAGCGCCACCCGCTCGTGGTAGCGGATGGAGTTCCGGTTCCGATCCCTCCACCTCCCGTACAGCCGCTTCCGCAGCTCGCCCGGCGGCAGCAGCAGCAGCTCCCGGCCCAGGTAGGCGGTCACCGAGGGGGCGGCGGGGGGCGGCTCGGCGGCAGCAGCAGCACGCCGCCGGAACTCCGCGATCGCCGCCTCCGCCGCCGCATCCACCGCCGCCTCCGCCGCCTCCCTCCCCTCGCGCTCCCCCCCGCCCCCATGCTCCTCCTCACCTCCGCTGCCGCCACCACTGCCGTACACCTCCGCCAGCCGCCGCAGCGCCACCCCCCGGTGGTAGCGGATGGCGTCCCGCGTGCGCCCGCACCAGCTGCCGTACAGCGCCTGCTGCAGCTGCGGCGGCGGCAGCAGCAGCAGCGGGGTGGTGAGGTAGGCGGTGGCGGGGGCGGCGGGGGGGTGCAGACTGAGGGAGAGGGCGGCGGGAGTGGAGGGAGGACCACCACCGCCCTCGCTGCTGCTGCTATCACTGCTGCTGCTGGCAGTGTTGTCCGCGGACGCGGGGTGTTGCTGCGGGTGCGGGTCGGGGGGCGGGGGGCTGGGTGCGGGTGCTCCAGGGCCCGGTGGGGCGGGCTCCTGAGGCAGCAGCTGGCCCAGCGCCTGCAGCGGGGGGGGGGGAGCCAGCGGGGGGCAAGGGGGGGTGACAAACTGACAAGCCTCTCTCGCGCGCGGCGGCAGCAGACGCGGCGGAAAAAGGGACCCCCGCCGCCTGCCCCCAGGCTTCAAGTCCGCCCCCTCCCCTCCCCCTCCCCCACCCCAGCCCGCCCCTTCCCCCTTTACCCTGCTCAGCTCCCCCAGCTGCTGCGGCCCCAGCAGCCCCACTCGCGCCACCCGCTCAGCCGCCTGGCGCACCCTGGGGGGGGGGGGGAGGAGGGAGGGGACGGAGGAGGAAGAAGGTTAGCGACCCGACTAGCTGCACCAGCAGTTCCCTGCGCCCTACCGCCCCCAGTGCCGCACCACACTCGGCGTGTGCGACCGCTCCCCCCCCTCCCCGCCCTCCCCGCCCCTCCCCTCCCCGCCCCCACCTGTGCACGTGCAGCCCCGCCACCGACTTGGGTCGGCCCCGCACCGCCTCCGCCACCGCCCGCACCACCTGATCCGGCGGCTGCAGCACCAGCCAGCAGCTCACGTAGGCGCAGCGACCCGTGTAGCCGCCACCGCTGCCGCTGCGGCCGCCGCCACCCGGCCCCTCCTCCTCCTCCTCCTCCTCTTCCTCCGCACTCCCACTGCCACCCCCACCCACATCGCCCCCTGCCGCCGCAATGGCCGCCAGCCGAGCCGCCCCCAGCGCCCGCAGCCGCAGCTCCGCAGTGGGGCGGTCCAGGGCGCCGGACTGGAAGGCGGCCTGGGGGTGGGGGTAGGGGTGGTGAAGCGCGGGAGGGGATGACACAGCGGCAGCCCCTAGCGAGCAAAGCGTGTGTGGGCCCTTGCAAGCTGAAAAGGGCTAGTAAGGCAACCTGTGAGCCCAGAACCGGCCCCGCCATCTCCGTCAACGCACAATGGACCCCCCTGCCCCTCCCCCGCCCCCCAAAGCCCCCGCACCAGCACCGCCTCCTCCAGCTCCGCCGCCTCCAAGCCCACTCCACGCACCGACACCCCCCGCCAGTGCTCCCGCAGCACCCCCTCCAGCCGCTCGGAGGACAGCCACCAGCGCTCATCACCTTTGCTGCCGCCCTCCTCCCCCTCCTCCTGTTCTGCAGCTGCAACGCCCTCCCCGTCTCCCTCCCCTTCCCCTTCACCGCCGCCCCCCCCGGGCCACGTGACCAGCTCCGCGGGCCGCCAGCGCGCCTCCAGCCACCTCAGCGCCGCCAGCTGCCGCCCCAGCAGCTGCGGCCGCGGGTGCACACCCCAGCCCACCAGCAGCCGCAACACGTCCGCAGCGGCGGCAACGAACCGCTGCGGGGGGAAGGAAGAGGGGAAACGGGGGAGGGAGGGAACCGTGTGGAGGTGCAGGGAAAGGCGGCGTAGAAGGCATGCAGGGTCAGGTAAAGCGCCCACGACCCATGGGTCAGCAGCTCCCCACCAAAGCACCTCACCTTGACGTCCCGCTTGCCCCTCCACGCCGCGAACAAGTGCTCCTCCAGCTCCCTCGGCGGCCCCCGCAGCAGCGCCCCCCGCCCCGCCAGCAGCGGCGCCACCTCCAGCCAGCCGCGGACCGCCCGCCGGGCAGCCGCCAGCGCCTCCAGCCGGGGGGGCAGGTCCGCGGGGGGCAGCACACCCGCCGCGGCCATGGACTGCGGACAGGGGGAGAGAAGAGGGAGGGGAGCAACAGGCAGCGTTGTCAACGGCTTTGGCGGCTTCCCTCCTTGTCTTCTTCTCGCCTGCCGAGTGCCGACGATACCCTACTACGTGCCCGCCCCATCCGCCTTCGCCGCCCTGTGCCCACCTGCCCCTCCCCCGCCCCTTTGTCGCCCCCCCCGCCCCACCTGCAACACCTTTGTCGCCATGCCCACGTGGTGCCGTACGGAGTCGTATGAGACGCAGCGGGCGCGCATCTCCCCAGCCAGCGCCTCCGCCAGTTGCTCGGGCGGGGCGGACAGGAAGGAGGGGGTCAGGTAGCTGACCACAAGGGCATGCGGCTGCTGCTGGGGCCGCGGCTGCGGCTGCTGGGGCTGCTGGGGCCGCGGCGGCTGCGGCTGCTGCTGCTCCGCATCGTCCCCCTCGGCCTCCTGCTGCCGAGCGGCTAGTGCGGCACGTCTCGCCGCCTGCACCGCCGCCAGCCGCTGAGACAGCGCCTGCTGGGGCAGGGGCAGGGCGCGGAGGCGGGAGGCGACCTCCGAGGCGTGGCGGGCGACCTGCGGGGCGGGGACGAGGGCGGTGTGATAGCGGGACTTGGGACCGCAACACAGGCGGGGCACAGGGTGATGAGGGCCTCTGCACCACCTGGGCCCCTCCCTCCCTCCCTTCCTCCCGGGCCCCCGCCCACCTGCCCCGCGGTGTCCTGCCCGCCACTCCACCGCTCCTCCAGCATTGCCTGGGGCCGGGCCAGTGAGGGGTCGGGCCAGTGAGGGGTCGGGCCAGTGAGGGGCCGGGCCAGTGAGGGGTCGGGCCAGTGAGGGGTCGGGCCAGTGAGGGGTCGGGCCAGTGAGGGGTCGGGCCAGTGAGGGGTCGGGCCAGTGAGGGGTCGGGCCAGTGAGGGGTCGGGCCAGTGAGGGGTCGGGCCAGTGAGGGGTCGGGCCAGTGAGGGGGCGGGCCAGTGAGGGGTCGGGCCAGTGAGGGGTCGGGCCAGTGAGGGGTCGGGCCAGTGAGGGGTCGGGCCAGTGAGGGGTCGGGCCAGTGAGGGGTCGGGCCAGTGAGGGGTCGGGCCAGTGAGGGGTCGGGCCAGTGAGGGGTCGGGCCAGTGAGGGGTCGGGCCAGTGAGGGGTCGGGCCAGTGAGGGGTCGGGCCAGTGAGGGGTCGGGCCAGTGAGGGGTCGGGCCAGTGAGGGGTCGGGCCAGTGAGGGGTCGGGCCAGTGAGGGGTCGGGCCAGTGAGGGGTCGGGCCAGTGAGGGGTCGGGCCAGTGAGGGGTCGGGCCAGTGAGGGGTCGGGCCAGTGAGGGGTCGGGCCAGTGAGGGGTCGGGCCAGTGAGGGGTCGGGCCAGTGAGGGGTCGGGCCAGTGAGGGGCCGGGCCAGTGAGGGGTCGGGCCAGTGAGGGGTCGGGCCAGTGAGGGGTCGGGCCAGTGAGGGGTCGGGCCAGTGAGGGGTCGGGCCAGTGAGGGGTCGGGCCAGTGAGGGGTCGGGCCAGTGAGGGGTCGGGCCAGTGAGGGGGCGGCCGGAAGGTCCAGGTGGCAGCACGTCAGCGGCAGCATGCACGCAGGCAGCGGGAGTGGGCACTCAGGTCTGCCGCACCCCGCATCACGGGGGTACACCCCCTCCCCCATCCCCACCTTGAGCACCTCGGCCGGAAGCAGCAGCAGCTCGTCCCGCAGGCAGCATCCCGACGGGCCCCGGGCGCCCCCGCTGCTCCCTGCGTCGGCGGCTGCAGCGGGTGAGGCGACACCCGCCGGCCCCTCAGGCGGCGCAGGTCGGGCCCCCACACCGGCGCCAGGGGTACGAGCGCGCTGCCGTACCACATGCCGCCGCCGTGCTGGCGCCGTAGCAGCGGGTGCCGCGGCCGCAGGTGCGGGTGAGCCGCCGCCGGTGGCACGGCTCCGGGCGCGCGAGGGGGCCGCCGTGCTGGCTGCCGCCGTGCCGTCGCCCCGGTCATCGGAAATGCCTGCGGGGGGTGGATGGCGGGAGGTTGCGCTGCTTGACTGAGGCGGGGGTCAGGACGGTACCAAACGGAGTTGCGCCGGTGAAGGAATGGGTGAATCAGGGGACTGTCAAGGGTGCGCATGGACCTAGCAAACAGGGGTGATAACATGCCCTGCGGCGCCCTTTGGATTGCGTTCAGCGCATGTCAGCTAGGCCACTTAGGAGGAGGAAGTCGTGGAGACGAGCGAGCCCCGAGAGGGCGGAGGTGTTTATTGCCGGCGTTATGTAGCGTGTTGATTCCAAAGAGCGTTACTAACCGGGGTCGTCCATCATGCTCCTCAACAGCTGCTCGTCGGAGGGAATTGCAGCTACGGCCATGCCCCGCGAGCGACGCTGGAAACGCGATACCGCAGCATCGAGCGCCAGTGGCGACCAGCGAGTAATTGCTGGTGGCCATATACTCCTCCTGCCTTGCCGCTTGAGCGCAGGCTTGCAGGGCAGCGCCGCTCGCGCTGTAGGCGATAGGGCTGCGCTTTGGAGTCTAGCACACTCCTCAAGCATCCGTTGTGTGGATCTTAATGAATTGCAAATTTAACAAAATGAACATCTCCAGTGTACTTTGTGGTCAAGGTTCACCATGGAGCATGCAACTTGCTGGCTGAAGGAAGGGACATGTTAGCTCCTGAGCTTATAGACCGCTACAAAGATTGCGTAAAGGGTTCTATAATAAAACAATTAGGAAAATCGCCTCATTACAGTGCATGATGGTTGGTTGCATGGACAATGGTCGTTCGTCAGCCTATAGCTAACTCGCCGAAGTCTAGTATACCACGCTATTCATGTAACAGCACAACGTTTACATACTCTTTGGTCTTTCACTTAACCCTGACGCGACGTCTTCTGCGGAACACTTATCAGGGTATAGGCTTAGGAAACGTAAAAATGCAGAACATATTGCTTTCTGCGTCTAGACTAGGATCTCGCTTGTTGAACACTGGGACCGTGCCCGCTTTGTCACAATGCCTTGCGGGTGGACTGTCGGCGCCTTCAGCTCAGCGGTTGCCAGCCTGTGTCCCAGCAATCTTCTCATCCTTCGCTTCTTCTTCTCCAGCTGGCGGTAGCAATGCAATGGCGCTCTCCACTTCCTCTTGCGCTAGCGCTGATGGAAACGCGCTCGATGCCGCGTCTACGTCCTCCTCGCTGCGACCTATTGCTTCACGATCCGCTCCTGCCCTTCATATTGATGGCTCGCGCCGGGCTGACCCAGGGGAGGCACGCTACACAGCCCCATACTGGATACCCGAGGATGTCCGCCGCGAACATCGGCTTCCCAACGTGCTCTTTACCAACCCCTGGCCCTCCCACGACGAGCCCGAGCTCCGCCGCCAGCACGCCCGGCTCTGCCTTGAGCAGCTCCGGCGGGCGGGGCGGCCGCTCACAGCCGAGGAGATTCGTGAGGCAGTCAATGCTGAGCAGCGCGAGCTGTACGGCGATGCCGCACCGCAGCTCGCCACCCCCGCCTACGCCAAGCAGCTGCTGGAGCACATGCGCCGCACCCGGCTGCTGTTCGGCAGGAAGAACCCCGAGTCGCTGCTGAGCGCGGGCCACCCCGACCACCCGCGCTTCTACGTGCTGCTGCCGTACCAGGCGGCCCGCATGGGGCAGCCGGAGCAGCTGGCGGCGGAAGACGCGGCGAAGCGGGAGGCGGCGGTCAAGAAGGCCGTCAGGCGCCTGCGCAACTCCAAGCCGCCCTTCGCAATCCACCGCAGGTGCGGGATGGGGGTTGGGGTGGGAGGGCGGTGTTGTGAGCGTGTGTCGGTTTCACAGGGAAGTGTGCAGTGCTGGCTTACAATCAAGGAAAGCGGCAGCGATTGGGGCGCTCCATGTGTGGACCCGAATACAAAGCTGTTGGCAGAGCTCTTTTCCAGCACCCCCCCCCTTCCAACCGCGCTTGCTCCCCTCCTCTTCTTCCCCCTCATCCCTGCCCCTCAGGCGCGCCCACTTTAGCATGTGGCAGCACGAGCTGGCGAATGAGGCCATCCGGGACGCAGTGCAGAGCGCGTGAGGCAGGCGGCTGGGGGCTGATGCTGGCGGGAGGGGAGGCCGGAGCTGCTGCTGTCGGGGGGGCCCAGGAGCTGCTGCTGCCAGGGGAGGCGGCTGGAGCTGATGCTGCGGGCGGGGGGGGGGCTGTTGCGAGGGAGCTTGCGTTTCTGCATGGAGATAGGAAGGTGCAGAGCGCTTGTCGGCGTTACGGTCAGCATCGCTTGGCTCTGGGGGCCATATGAGTGGGTCAGCTACGCATGCGGCGTGCGGTGCGGTGCGAGGGCGCCACTGGTGCGGCGGGGGGCGTGCGGGCGGGGCAGGCGGTGAGGCAGACGGTGCGGGGGGATGTGCGGGCGCACGGGAGGGGCGGTATCGGCTGCCTTCCCTTGCCTGCACTCGCCTTGCGTTCAGGAGGGTATAGGGGATAGTGGGTGTATGGTGTCATGGCGGTGTGAGCGGAGGCGGAGGAGGACGCGGAGGAGGGACCTCAGCTGGCTGTTGGGGTGCAGGGACGGCTGATGCGGCGGCAGGGGCACGGGCGCATGGCCCTTGAGAGGTGCATGGAGGCTTATCCGGCCGGTCGTGGGAAGCCAGCAGGGGCTGTTGGACGGGTAGAGAGGTCCAGTGCGTCGCGCGGTGGCGCCCTGGGGCCCTCTGGTGTGGCAGAGTTCGTGACTGGGCTGGAGGTCGGGCTCTATAGCGGCCTGGGGCGCTAGATGGCCCCATCCTATAACCTTTGGCAAGCGGCGTACTGCTTAACCGAATTACTTGTAATCACGTGCCGTACCAGCCCCTTAACGCTTGCCCGTACAACTGGATTACGGCACAGTTGGAGGCCACCCATAGCTACCACGCAGCCCACATCAGGCTAGTGCTTTCTCTTTGCCAAGCAGTAGGTCTCAGCAGCACAATGCGACTCGTTAGACGTGATGCGTTCAGCTTCTCGCCCCTCCGGACGGGCGAGCGGATGGCTCCTGGGCTCCGGCGATGCTCGCGGCTGGTGGTTCGCGGGTCCACAGCCCCGGCTGCAGGGGCCCCCAGCAAACCGCTGAAGGCTTCAGACCGAGTCAGACTGGGCGACTCGGAGCTGCTCGTGTCAAGTGGGTGGCAATGGTCGCTCGAACGTCGCTTTTCGTTGAACTTGCCGCGACGTCCGCGCGAATGAATTTCGTCATAAAAATGGAAGTCCTTTAGTTGGATTCCTTGCTTACTTGGAAGCGCTCGGGTAGGAGCAGCGCCCTCCCGACGTCCCCGTTGGCATGGGCGTTGGCAGCGAGCGGCTGGCAGCGCGCTGCAAATGAAGCAATTCCCTAAGTAATTTAATCCGTGAACTGGTTTAAGATTTTAACTTGGAGATAGTTACACCGTCGCACTTGCTTCGGGAGCAAGACTGTTGCATTGCTCGCATCCATAAGAGCCGGCCCGCGCGCCCGAGTAAAGCAAGCCCAGCCTTCCCGAAGCGCTACCCCTATCCCTCTCCCCACCTTCCCCCGCCAGCCTGCTGCCTGGGCACCATGACGTGGGGCAAGCAGAACAGCGAGGCGGAGGCGCACCAGCAGCTGTCGTACGCGTGGGATATGGTAGGGGCTGGAGGGCGTGCTGGGGGTGCTAGGTGGGCAGGGAGGGGCGACCGGTGGATTGGAACCGGTTGAGTGTTGCGACTGAGAGGCACTGTCCTTCCCATTCTATATCCACTTCCTGCCCGATCCGCTCCCACCCGCTCCCTCTCCGCCCCATCTCCCTGCTCCTCGCCCCCTCTCCCTGCTCCCTCCCCTCCTCCCCCCAGGGTCTCAACTTCCTAGACACGGCGGAGATGTACCCGGTGCCCACGGAGGCGGCCACGCAGGGGCGCACCGACACCTACATCGGCACCTGGATGCGGGGCGGGGGCAGGCGCAGGGAGGAGGTGGTGATCGCGACAAAGGTGCGGGACGAGGGTGTGTGGGTTGAAGCGGGGGGAGAGGCAGGGGGGGCAGGGGGCACGCCTGCAGTGAACAGTGTACAGCCAGGTTTCACCCCCTCACTATTGGGGGCGCCTCAGCTAGTGTACTCCCACTTCCCCCCTCCGCCCTCCCCCCTCCCACCTCCCCCCTTGTTGTTTCACTTTTATATAATTTTTTCCTCCCACCTCCCCCCCCCAGGTGTCCGGCTACAGCGACCGCGCCACCTGGGTGCGCCAGCCGCCCCGCACCACCCGTGTCACCCGGGAGCAGGTGGTGGAGAGCGTGGACGCGTCGCTGAGGAGGCTGCAGGTGGGGGGAGGGGAGGGAGCTGGGGGGCTGGGTTGGGGCAGGGAGGGAAGCGGGAGGAAGGGGAAGACAGGGTTCGTAGCATCTGGTCTTCTCACTCCCTGCTCACCCCACGGCATCTTAAGAAGCATCTTAAGGCGGATCATTAACCTCCTCCTCCTCCCCCCTTCCCCTCCTGTCTCCCCCCCAAGGTGGACCACATCGACCTGCTGCAGATCCACTGGTGGGGCGGGGGCAGGGGTAGGGAGTGAGGGCCTCGTGGGGGAGGGCATGCAGGAGCTAGGGAGGGCTGCAGCGGCGGGAAGGTGGCCTGCTGCTGCTGCTGCTGGTGCATGCAGTGCCATGCAGGGCAGCGGAAGGAGGGGCTCACAGCCGCATGAATGGCCGGGCACCTGTCCTGCCCCCCAACCCCCACCCCCTCCCCCTTGCCCCGCCCCCCTCCAGGCCCGACCGCTACGTGCCACTGTTCGGGTCGGGTCCGTACGACGTCGGTCAGGAGCGGCCCGACGCGGTTCCCTTCGAGGAGCAGCTGCGGGCGCTGGAGGAGGTGGTGCGGGCGGGCAAGGTGAGGGGGGGAGGTGGTGCCCAGGCTGCCCAGGCAGTGGGGGACTGGCCGGTGGGGCGCCGGCTTGCAACCCGGACTACGGGGGGACGGCAGGACGGCAGGGTCGCAGTCAAGGGCGCCGCAGTTGCCCCTCGCCCATTGCCCCATTGCGGGGCTCTCACTGGGTGCGGCCCCCGCCCTCCTCCTCGGCCACACGTACGTGCTGCACCCCCTTCCCTCCTTCCCTCCTGCCCCTCCCTCCTGCCCCTCCCTCCTGCCCCTCCTTCCTGCCCTCCCTTTTGCCCCTCCCTCCTGCCCTCCCCCCAGGTTCGCTACATCGGTGTGTCCAACGAGACTAGCTACGGAGTGAGCGAGTTCTGCCACCTGGCCCGGGCGGCCGGACTGCCCATGATTCAAACCATCCAGAACGCCTACTCGCTGCTGGTGGGGCTGGGGACCGGGGGGGAGGGGGGTTGGGTCGGGCGAGGTGTCTGCTCAAGCTGTCACATCTCTTGACGTCTCCTGAGTCCTCGCAGCAGACAAGACCTACTAGTCAGGCAGCAGCGACACTGCCTTCGCGCATTCCCGTGCTGGGAGGTGTCCGATGCCCCTGGCAACGTCCCATGGGTCACCATGAAGCAACACCGCCTTCTTCAACCCCAACCACAACCCCCTCCTCCGCAGGTTCGTGTTCCCTTCGAGACCGACCTCTCCGAGACCTGCCGCCGCCACCACGTCAGCCTGCTGGCCTACAGCCCCCTGGCGGGCGGCATGCTGACGGGGAAGTACGACAAGCTCTCCGCGCAGCAGCTGCAGGCGGCGCGCTTCAACCTCTTCCCCGGCTACATGGCGCGCTACAAGCAGTCCGCCGTACAGGAGGCGGTGCGGGAGTACGACAGGGTGGCGGCCAAGTACGGCATGAGCGCCACGGAGTTGGCGCTGGCGTGGTGCAAGTCCAGGTGGGGGGGCTGGGGCGGGGCAGGGGCTGGGGCGTGCGGCTGAAGCCAGGCGACTGCTGCCTTTGTGCCCTTCCTCGCCTCGTGTGGCTGCTATGGGCTCTGGCAGAGCTAAGCCTTGGGCTCCACAGTTGCTGCCTTCCTACCTCCTCCCGTCCCCTCCCCTCCTCTCCCCCCGGCAGGTGGTTTGTGAGCAGCACCATCATCGGCGCCACAAGCATGGAGCAGCTCAAGGTGGGGCGGGGGCGGGGTGCATGGGGGGCGGCGGGATGGAGCTTTAGGGCAGGGGTTTATTCCGGGCGGCTGGTCTGCGGGGGGGGGCTTTAATCATGCTGTGTCGCGGTGGTGCATGTGTTCTTTAGCCCTGCCGCCCCTTCATGCCGTGGCCTTACTGTGTTGCGGATGCACCCACATGCAGCCCCGGCAACCTGATACACGCACGAGCTGCTCATACCCGCATGAACCCTTGCAGGAGAACCTGGCTGCCTTCGACAAGGACATTCCGGACGAGTGCGCGGCTGACATCCAGGTACGTGTGGCCCCCCCCTCCCCGCCCCGCTGCTGTGCAGCTGCATGTTGCTGCTGGCCAGCCTTGCCAGGTGCTTCCCTCGCTGGCGGGTCACGGACAGGTGCAGCAAGCGCAAAGCAAACACGCATTTCGGATGCTATCTCCAACATGTCGTACAGTTAGGAGCGCCTGATTATTGCCGGTCTTGGGATGTACCCGCACGCCTCCCAGGCCAACTGGTACCCTGCTGATCCGCTGATGCCTTGTCCATTCTATCATTGTCCCACACGGCCTCAGGCAATCTACAAGAAGTACAAGGACCCCACCGTGAACCCGTAGGCCTGAGGAGCTCGTGAAGAGATGCAGCCAGTGTTGTGCTGCTTTACATCGTACAGGAAATCATAGCGCCGCCGTGTAACGTTGATATGCACGGCTAAGCCCAACTGGTCCAACTAGTTCTCAGCCGCAACCTCCCAACACCTGTTCTACTGCTGATGGAGCCAGGTAGCAGCGACGATGCGCAGGGGTCCAACCCCTGCAGAGACCCTGCAGCCACACTAGGCCCAAGCCAGTTCAGCTGCTTCCCTCCAGGCATCCACGCCACCACCACCGTTGCAGCACAGCCTACACCAGCTACTAACAGCTACATCAGTCGTACCGCACACCCCAATGCGCCGTACAGTCAGGGAAGTTCAGCAAGGCCAGCAGCAATCAGATGATTCGTGTCGACAGCACTCCACAGGCCCCGTACGCACCGCCCAATTGCACCGAGTGCGCATCCTGTCTAGAGCTAGCCCCCTCCCTGAATACGCAAGTCTTCCCCTAAACCCCTGTCTAAGCCCCTGGCACACCACCGTCGCCTCCTCTTTAACCTTCCTTCCAAAGCCTCCCTGCATGCCGCTGCTATGTACAACCCAGCCAACCGACTCGCTCAGCGCCCCCCTTGCCCCCACCTACGTTCCTGCTCATCCTCTCAGCCCCCACCCGCGCTTCCTCCCACTTCTCCTCCTCCTCCCCCGCACCCCTCCCTGCCGCCCCTCACAGCACCGGGTTGGCGGTGGCGGGGTGCTGCGCGGGGTCGGGGTAATACTGGTAGTGCAGCTCCGTGATGTCGTCGCCGCGCACCTTGGTCCAGCCGTCCTGCGTCACGTGGTACACGCTCACAGTGCCGCCGGACGCGCAGTCGCGGAAGCCTGCGTGGTAGATGGAGCGGCGGCCCAGCTCGATGGCCTCCTCCACGCTGAGGTCCCAGCGGTAGCCGGCGTCCAGCACACCGTAGGCGTACAGGGAGCCGGAGCCCACGCTGAAGATCTGGCCCTTGGTGCGCTGGCCGTCGCTGTCGACGTAGTAGAGGCCCGGGCCCGTGGGGTCCCAGCCGGCCACCATGGTGCCCATGGACAGGCCCATGCCCCGGTAGGAGAACATGGTGTTGGAGAGGAGCTTGGAGGCGGCGCGGACGGTAATGCGCTTGGCGTTGTTAAGCTCGTAGAGACGGCAGCGCATACCCAGATTGCGCTGCCAGAACTGGCAATCAGCTGCGCCACCGGCCATAGTTCCCAACAGGTACTTGTTGATCTCAATAACCTTCTTGACGGTCTGAGACGAGATGTAGGAACCCATAGTCGCCCGCGAATCCACAGCGATAATTACTCCACGCTGGAAAATGAAGCCTAGCGTTGTTGTCCCGTGGCAGGGCTTCACCATCTCCACAACCTCCCGCTCAAATTTGTCCAAATCTTGCACAGCGGGAAGAGGGAATGAAGCTGTGGGAACCTCTAGTCCTAGATCTGGATGCGAGTCCAGGGCTACGCGCCCAGAGCCGCTCTCCAGGATACCAAGATCTAACTTAAGCTGCATTGTGTAAAAGACGTAGGTATCAAATTAGGAAAGGGTGCCTGTTAAGTAAGTGGCTTCACGTTGTGACAAGAATCTGTCTAACCACGTTGCAAGGTAGGCCCAGTGAGTTACGAGAAATGAAGCTGTGGACTAGCTTTAAGCCCAATAATGGTTTAGTTGTCCATTCGACGTTTGCGGAGTTGTCAGCGTTGTCGTGAACGGCATGGCCAGAACGAAGCTCATGTACGTTCTTCCTTTTAGATACTTATTGCAAGCAATCCACTATCTGTCGCATGGCCCATTTATACTCTATACGTTGTTTCCGTCGGCTTGCTGCCAACCCGGTCCGAGCGAACCGTCGGCTGGCGAGGCCCCGCTGATATGTCCATACTGAAACTGCTGGTGTCTGCTAGATAAACAGCTGGTGCGTTGCTGGTTACCAAACACTTAGTGAGACTCTAGGGATGCGAAGCGTGCACTCATGTGCCCGCAAGCCATGGGTCGCTCGACGCTTTCAAAGCAAAGGCCAAATGGCTGCATTGCTACTTTTCCTGTGGTACTCTACGTGCAATATGCAAATACAGCGAACGCCGTCGCGGAAGGCTTAAATGGAGCGACGCTGCATGTGGTGTGGCCTGGCTTCGGGACGTGTTTCTCCTGGCAAGCTGGCACGCGTGGCAAAACGAGCGCCCTATGTAATGCGGAGCGGCAGCTTGCGTGACAAACGTCGTTGTGAATGTAATTTACTGATATGCCATTGCAGGGAAGCATGGGCTTTGTGACGTTATCCTAATTGCAGTTCCGATTTTCAACAAGTAACACTTAATAGACATTCACCAGTTGGGCTTTGACATTTAGCGTAAAGTGTGTCGCATGCTGACGCTTCAATGCCTACCGGTATTCTCCCCAAGGTGTACTTTGCAAACGGCCGGGATTATACGCACGTTGTATTAAATGACCCCAAACACCCCTCGCGAAGCCTTTAGCTCACGCGCTTCTCTGAGGGTAGCTGCCCTCCTGTCGGCCCTCAACTTACCCAGGCCCAGGTGTCATGAGCCGCCTGTCCGAGCAGTTCCACATGTCGGGGGTGCCACACTGGCCAGCAGCGGCGGCGGTGTGGTGGCGGTGCTGGGAGCGTGTGAGGTGCCCCTAGAGGCTGCTGTACAGCTGGCCTTCAGCTGAGCCAGGAGGTGGGCATGTGTGACAGTCCACTGGGGCTGCTGGCCACCTGGCGGGGCCTGGTGCACCGGTGCGGATGCGTGGGAGGGCCTGGCCTGTATGTGATTTGACGAGGGAAGACGTTTCTGGGTGGGATCCTCTGGTGTTTCAGTCTTTCCACCCAACTGGATGGAGCTTACTTCTACTTTGGGTTGTCTGTGAGACCTTGCAGCCTTTTGAGTGTCATTCACCTGCACGATCGTAGGTCCTGTATAGTACCCCCGAAGCCAGCATCAGCGTGCTTTAGTATGATGCGCACCCTGATGAGATGCGCACCTACAACTGTTGGGCTTTGCAGGCAGGTTCTCTGACCACCAACCCGTGATGGGGGGCCGCCGAACGGAAACACACGCTACGTGCCCGAGACTTGGCCGACCTTGGGGATCAAGTTATCGCTGGATAGCATATTAATGGGCTATCCGTATATGCCATTGCGGGCCTGTTGTCCAATCTATCGTGCCATTGTTCATATGGTTCTATCCTCCCAAACCCTTCGCCCCTTCCTCCCCGCAGCTGGCTGGATGAGCTGCTGCCCGCTGACGCTGCTCATCAGTGCAGCCAGATGGCTCTGGTGGCGACAGAGCTGCCCGCACTGCGGCCCGCGCAGGTGGGGAACGGGAGGTGCGGATAGAACCAAGTAAGTTGGGTAAGAATATGTGGGCCGGGGGAGAGAGCTTCGGCAGCCAGGGTGGTTGTGGAGTGTAATGTGCCACAAAGCGCTCGGAGACTTCCCCGCTGAGGGTAGCCCTTTGCTGCGCGTTGCAGAGAGCCTGCATCAGTTCCCACGGGGTCCCCAAAGGCCTCGATTGCGGCTGGTGTTTCTTGCTGTCCTGCTTCCGCCACTCCTGTCACCTCTTGCCAACCTCTGCCAGGCAGATATCCCGTATACAACGACCATCACAAACCTCATGGGATGCTAGGGGCATCGGAGCTTGGCTGCCAACTCTCTGAAGGTAAGCAGTGCTGTACGACAGCCCTCGCACGCTTTTATACACCCCACCGCTGCTTGATTGAATGCATGGTACCCTTCTGCCTCCTTGCCAGCGGCACCCCCCACACATGACTGTACGACAGCCAGTCCCTCCTGCTGCTTGCCGTACTCCTTACCCCTTTCCCCAGCTGTGTTGCTGCCACCGTATACGGCAGCACAAACCCAAATGAATACCTTGCTTTACGTGATTGCGGCCCATGGTTCACTGCAACCCACTCCCTGCGGTCAGGCCGCTCTAGGAGGTTCGATTCCTCCAAGGAGTACTGCACATGCACCAGCAGCAACATCCTTGCCCCATTCTCTATCACCTTTGCATGTATGCAGACCTCCCCACGTGTCTTTGTACGTCTAAACGGCATGCAAAGCTGTATCCCTAGCGGCTGGGGGCCAGCTGTTTCAGCCTAAGAGGTAAGCTTCACGCTGAACATTGCTAAGTTTACCCAGCACTTGCAGAAAATGGTGCAGAGATTCGGACAGCAGGTAAAGAGTAACAATTCTCTCTCTTGGTTTACACATTGACCGCTGCCCATTGACTTGATACAACCTGCCTTTCAGGACAAGTAGATTACTACTTCCTTGGATATTAACAAGCGTTTGATTTTTCACGGTGTCTTGAATTGTGCAGGCCTGCGAAAAAGGAGTGGAAGGAGGCTGGCAAGCCTGCTGCGTCTGATGTACCTGGCTGTATCACGGGGCAGCTCACTCTCCTGTTCGGAAGCATCACCATCGCCAGCAGCAAACACCCATGTAAGGTAAGCAGGCATGTCAGGTAAGCAGGCGATAGGAACTCCTGCTGTGCTAGGTAGAAACTGTGCCTTTATAGTCTGCTCTCTCGTCCTCCTATGTGCGAAGCTTGCTAGAAATGAGGAAACTATTATACCGGGCCCGCCCTTTACCCAACCCAACCTGTGCATTGCTCCCCTCTACAGTAAGGACCACAACACGCGAGGGGCCAGGCAGCCAGCACGATGGGCTGGCGGGCACCGTGGTGGACGGCGGCATGCCTGGGGATAGCCCTGGTGGTTCAGCGGCGGTGCAAGGTGCACGGTGCATGAAGGGGTTGAGACATGTCACCACCGAAGGGTCCCGAAGTAGGCTTAGTACCCTGACTAATGAAACTTTCCTTTCAGCATGGTAATAAGTATGTGACAGAACGTGCAACACCACGCCTACCCTGCTGTGTTTGCAGAAAACGAGGAGGAGCGGCAGCCCCGTGTTCGTGGCGAGCAGGACACAGCTTGGCAGCCCGCCAAGCCTTCTGCGAGAGGCGCGAGGAAGCAAGCAGGTGATAAGCGTCCGGAGCCGGAGCCGGAGCTTGAGCCTGCTCGGTGTAGCAGCTGACCGTGGCGCACATAGTCTTGCAAACGTGGCTAGCTGCTGCGGTACGGGGAGCTTAGGGAGCATAATGGAATTATTCATATAAGGGGGGATAAGGGGTGGCTTGAGTAACTGTGAACTAGGTTGTGTTAGTTGTAAGAGGGTGGTTATGACTGGGTAGAGGATAGTTGAGGCATGGCATGTGTCACAGGAGTGCGCATGTGTGTGGCATGCGTGCTCCATGTGTGGCATCTCATGGAAGCAGGTTCATAAGTATTGGCATTGCGGAGGACTAGTTTGGTAGCAGACGACAATGTCATGGCTGGAACACGCACGGTATTGAGTGGGCACGGAGGATTCATGTGTGTGCTTTTATTTGCGGCCCCAGACTCCAGACGGCCGAACAGACTTGGTTACCCTGGGGTAACAAGGCTGGGTTAGGTCACGAGGCAGGCCTAGACGTGACAGATGCGAATGGCCCGTGCACGGCAGGATGCATTGCACACAACTTCACCAGAGCCTGCTGTCCCCGCTTTGGCAAAGCTTTGCGGGAGGAAACAGCGACCCGTGGGCCTGACCCCTAGCTTGCTGGGCGCCAGGCAGGTGACATATGTTGCAGTGGTAGGTATTCGTATATCTCTGGAAGGAGACCGTTCACTTGATATGAATGTCGTATTATGTCAACCGCAGGAGCTTCGTACCCATTCACCTTACAAATACAACATTCGTATGGTATCAGAAGGCAGGGAAAACTAGGTTAGCATGCAGTTTACACAGCTCGTATAGCGCAACACCACGTGCGCCAGAACGACGAGTAGAGCCAGGTACTTGGCCTGTGCCAACGGTTACTGTTAAGCAAGGTGCTTCGTATCCGTTCAGCCGTCCCCCAGTACAGTCAAAGCACAGTCGCTGACCAACAGCACGGTGACAGTCAGCGCTGCAGCCAGGAGGTAGTTAGACCATCCACTCAGAACCAGGGGCAACGCAGTGGCCCTGAGACCACCCTGGCCCACAGTGATAACACAGGCCTCAAGGATAACTCAAGGCCACCCTTCAGTGCATTGGCACCTGAGAAATTGAGGCTGCGCGCCGCTGCAAGTGTGAAAACGGCCGCAGCCGCCACACACTTCTGCCGCAAGCAACACCACGGCGGCTGCCCGAGCCCACAGTAGAAACCGAGGCTGCGCGCCGCTGCAAGTGTGCACGCGGCCGCAGCCGCCACGCGCGGCTGCTGCTGCAGGCACGAGCCCACAATAGAAACCGAGGCTGCGCGGAGTATACTCGACAGCCATGATTACGGACATATTTTGACATTTGCGTGACCCAAACACAGGAAATGCCTTCCAACCAGGCTGGGCAACCCCGTCTGCTGCACCGTTCGCACAAAATAAAAAACGTTCAATTGTTCCCGCCGTCGCACACGCGGGTGGGGTGACCCATGGGTACAACGGGCCGCCCGTAGATCGCCCGCCCCAAGCCGCTGGGCCCAGGAACAGATTTCCAGCAACGGCAGCACCCGTAACGGTAGAGACTGGTGACGCGCCCCTGGGGCTCAGCCCAAACCCTCCCTGCTCTGCATGTTTGGACATGCGCATGGCTCCCTCTGCGGAGGGCGGTGGCTACAGCCGCATGTCTGCCGACCTGCCGCTCCTGCATGTTGCCCATGCTTTCTGCTGCCCTTCCCTGCCTCCCCCGTTGCTGTCAGCAATCAGACGGCCGCAGGGAGCGGTCGTACAGGTGACACGCCAGGCAGCGCAGCCCCTGTCGCTACACCCTCCTCTCACAGTGTTGCCTGCTCCAAACCCGCCCTGGCGGCTCAGTCTTCACCACCGCCCCTCCAGCCCTCCCCTTGGCCTGGCCTCCGGCCCACCCCCCAGCACCTGCCCATCGCAGCCGCGGCCACAGGCATCGGCCCGCCACAGCTCTGAGCCCACCAACGGCCCACCACCACCCAGCCTGACCGCCGCTCCGCCCCCGCTGCTGCCAGCTGCGGCGCGGTAGGTGGCGGCGGCAGGACGGCGCAGCTTGACAATACGCCGTGCCTTGGGGGAGCGCAATGCCGGTGCCCTGCCTCTACAAGGGCCGAAACCTTGCAAGGTACTCCTCCTTGGTCGCGGGTCGGAAAGAGGTGGGCGGCTCCCTGAGCCCCAACGGCTCGTACACCTCGGGCAGCCGCAGCAGCGACATGTAGGCCTGCGCGTACGCGTTCTCTCGCGCCGCCTCCAGCAGCCCCTCGTCCCCGTCAAAGCTCCCTCTGCCGCCGTCCGAGCTGTCCGCGCCGCTGCTACAAGACCCTTCCCCGCCGCCGCTGCCAGCCCCTGCGCCGCCGTGCGCGTCGTTGCTGCCGCCGCTGGATCCCGCGTCTCCACTGCCGCTGGCCCCTCCCCCGCTGCTGCTGGCACCTCTCCCGTGTCCGCTGGCGCCTTCCCCGGTGCCGCTGGCGCCTTCCCCGGTGCCGCTGGCGCCTTCCCCGGTGCCGCTGGCATCTCCTCCGCGGCTGTTAGCGGCGCCTTCCCCGGGGCTGCCGGCCTCCTCAGTCCGGCGCGTGCCCAGCAGGGCCCGTATGAAGCCGAGCGTCACGCTCTCCGAGCTGCTGTCCGCCGCCATAGCGGGTGCGTGTTCCGCTACAGCAGGGAGTAGGGCCGGGCTCGCCACGTGAATAGACCTCTTGCTCTTGCCAGCGTCCTTGCGGCCGGCGTGCACCACGTAGTGTGTGTTGAGGTCGCCAAACAGCACGATTACGTCATCTGCATGGAGCGGGTGAGAGGAGCAGGGGACGAGGTGGACGCTTCGCAGACGGCTCAGGGTGAGGCGAGCGTGGCTGTTCGTGGACTCGTATGCGGCCGTGCTTTAAGACCGTGCAACTGCGTACCAGGGTATTCCACCAAGTACTTATTAAGGACTTTATGACCAAAAGGTCCTTGGACAAGGACTTCTTTTGACCTGAACTCCTGGCGTACCAGGGGTTTTCGGGCCGCCACCGGTAAAAAGTCCTGGCGGAACGCCGCAAGGACATGCCAGGGCCAAAGTCCTGGCGCCTAAGGACCTTTCCGGGACCACAAGAGGCAAAAGTACTGGCGGCCAGGGGTCGGGGCCGTGCAAGGCGGGTGCGTTGCGGGGTGTTACTGGAGGGCGGGGAGGTCGATGGGTGCTGACGACAGGAGGAGTGACGGGGCACATTGACGGCCAATGTTGCGCGGATGGGTCGGCTTTGTCCTGCCAACCCAGGCATCGCCAGGATAGCATATCATACAAACCAGTGTGGCTATGTTGTTCGGCGCGCTCGAAAAGTAGTCCGTTTCAGCGCTATCTGGACCGAGCCGGAAGGACCCTTTCGCCGGAGTTTGTCGAGAAAAATTTGGCCGATTTTGGGCGGAAAAGACAGGTTGGTAGGGGAACTTGCCGAAAGAGCACCTTCCCCGGGCGAATAGGCGTATGTTCACATGCCACCTTTTGGATTTCCGGCCGAAAGCGCCCAAAATACGATAGTCACACTGATAAAAACCACCGTTCTATCAACATCTCAGGGTCTGGCTTGAACCTATAAGCTCAGAAGGCTCCTCTATGCACCTGGAACAGCCGTAGTGGTCTGCACCACATAAGCTCCATGCACGCACACGCCTTCTGACACACAATACCGCCTCAGCCCCCGCCAGTGGAGCCTGCTCCGAGCATAAGAAGTGCCCTTGCCACAAGCAAGCTGTAGTGCTGGCGAACGCAAAGCAGGGAAGGGACCCATGGACACGGCGGTTGTGAAGTCTGCACAGGCCGTGGCTAAGGGTATGGTCCGCGACATGCAGCTAGTCGTGTTCGCGGTACTGCGGATGTAAACCGAGCACTACACTACCGAGCATGCTTGCAATGCTCACGGCGGCGGTGGCGTTAAAGACAATACCAAATGGAGAATATTTACCAGCCAAATAACAAGGATTTCGACTGTCGAAAAGTGTTTTTGACAGCAAGTACTTTTTCCGGCGAAGGTCCTGGCAGCTAAGGACCTTTCCACTGGTCACTTGGTGAACCCTGCTGCGGACCCATGAGCGCACCGATCGGCACTCACTTGTGGGCCAGTCCTTCATGTGGTTGACCGCCAGGTACTCGAGCAGCGCCTGGGCGCGCACACGACGCAGCCCGTCGTTCAGGCGTCTCTCGGTCTTGGCCTCGTAAAGGCCTATGATTGAGCCAATCATAGACCGTAGCGCATCGGTCGTTGTGCCACGCTCGACGCTCAGCTTCCACCCATCGACCAGCTTCGCACCAAAGTCCTTCTTACACTTCGCCCACGCCGCCTCGGGGATGAAGACGTAGTCCGTCTTCGATGACTTTATTACGGCGTCAATGCTGCCGAGGTCCACCGTAGCAATCAGCCACTCGATGCTCTGCACGGGTAGGACCACGACGCCTGAAGGGGCAGCAGCGCGGTCAGGACGACAGAAGGGGCACAAGTCTGGGGAGCGGTCACAGAGAGTCACGGAGCCATGGAGCGGCAAAAGCGCTTGTGGATGTAAGGGCGCAAGGGTAGCCCCGCCAGCACACCCGTCCCTCCACCGAGGTCAAGAAGGCGCGGTCAAGCAACACCAAACAACATCCAAACAACACCACTCGTAACCCTGCGCCGGCTGCACTGCTAATCCCATGCGTGCTGCCGCACGCCGCCATCCCTCCCTTCCTGCATGTGTGTACCTTTAGGGGCAATGCTCTGCAGGTAATGCACCGCTCCCGTGACGTTCTCCTTCGAGTCCTCATGGTTACCGATCCAGTTGAACTTGGACTGCGCAGGCCAGGGCTCATAACCGCTGCAGCACGGCGCGTGGACGCCTGTGATGTAGTTCCACCGCACGCCCACCTCCTCCTCAATCCGTTTGCACACGCTTGACGAGCAGGACGACGCAGTGACCTCCATTCTGGAACATGACCGCATGAGGTCCTGTCGCAGCCAACAGGCAGGGCGTGATGGTACGGGGATGTTGGAGCGCATGGAGCAGAGAAGGGTGAAAAGGCCGACGGGCATACATGTTGCCACCGCACGTGGTCGCCCCAAAGGCTCACCCTCACCTTCATCTCCTTCACCACCAACTTCATCGTCTTGTTGTTCTCCTTTACCATCTCCTTCATCGTCTTGTTGTTCTCCTTTACCGTCTCCTTCATCGTCTTGTTGTTCTCCTTTACCGTCTCCATCATCTTGTTGTTCTCCTTTACCGTCTCCTTCATCATCTCCTTCATCGTCACCTCCAGAGAGATTAACAGCTCCTCCAATGCCAGCCGTGGCAACGCGCCTTCTGCACGGCGGCACGCAGGGACATAGCTGAAGGAAGCCAGAAGGGGCCGGAGCCCCAGGAAGCGGACAGGAAAGTGTTGAGCGTCCTGGAGAGTCGTTGCTACTGCCGTGTCACGCGTGAGCATCTGTGGCTTGCTTGCCCCCCTACCGTCGCACATGCGGACTATCAGCTACATTGTCTGGACGACAACCCAGCATTTGCACCCTCTTTGCCGGACAAACCATAAAGGCTCTTGCAGGACGAAACTGGAATCGCGCTTGACACGCCCGCCCGCCCGCCCAGCTGTGATCCACCCACAGCTAACACGCTGACAGTCTTCTCACCTGCAGCAGCGCTGCTGGGCCCCGGGCCAGCACCGGCGCCTGCACGTAACGGGAAAACCGAGACAGGTATTGACAGAGTAAATGCCGCTCTGGCCAACTGTGCAAGTCTTGTAGTCGGGTGGGAGGGGGGAGTTTCACCGAGGTCCACAGCGTAACACTTTTGTCCAACGCCCCATGGGTCGCTGCACAATCGAATGCGCTACGTTTGCAAAGTGGCTGCAACATTTGTTGGCACATCACCGCTGCAATCCGTGTATTGTGTCGGGAGGAGGGAGGCGGCAGCCACAATGCTGCGCCCTAAATGCGACGCTGCCAATGGACGCTCCATGGGTCGCTGCATGATCGGGTGCGCTGCAAGTGCGAGGTTGCTGCAGCATGTGTCAGCATATCACTGCTGCAATCCTAGAATTGTAGTTGGGGGGAGGGAGGGGGCCGCAGCGCTGTCGTCCGTGACTGCGGCGTGTATGAGTATGGGTATGACTATTGTAAACGGGCATAAGTAAAACTACAGTAAACGCTTGCCCAAGGGCAACAACGCACAGCCTAAAAGTTATTGTTGAACAGGCAGCTATCACCTGGCTCCTCCAGCACTTCCTGGCCGGCGCCGATGCGGACAGGGCTGCATGCACGCAAACCAAGTAAATTATTAGTACATGCAAGCATTGGTAACATCCTTTGGCCTCAAGCTGACTTACAATTGTGGCCCGGTCGCTGGTGTGGCTTGGGTGTTGGGAGCTGCAGGGCACTGCGTCACGTCGCAGTGGTATGAAAGTTTCCAGGTCACCATGTTGGTGCCAATGTCATAAGATACGTCGCCGATAATGCCAAGCTTGGTAATGGCATCTAGGATGTCGTCGCCTGGCGCTTTGAGGAGTTGAATGAGAGACTTCATGTGGTCCATGACGTCCTCAACAGTCGAGCAGAAGACGCGTTCGGACTCGACACCCTTGCTATCTGTTTAGGCGCGGGCGGTCAGGGTCAGATGGAGAAACTGCCTAAGCATACTGCACAGAACGGCCCACGACGTTAGGCTTACCCGTCTGGAATGTATCGTGATAGTAGTGGCGCACATTGGTCCTGTTCGAGCGGTCCCGGTTCGGCTGGAACTTCAGGGGGTCTACTGGAAAGCTCTTCTCCACTAGCAAAATTCCGATAGGGTGCTTAAGGAATAAGTCTCGATAAGCGTCGGTGTGTCTGGGATACAGCTCTAGCCTTATCTTCCACGAGTGCTCCATGGTTAACCAACTCGCATTATGTGTCAACCAGCTGCCACAGTCTTAATTGTTGGAGCAGTCAATACTAGCTTGAATGTGAAGTATTCAATTGATAGGATTACTTATACCTAAGCACCCCCACGACACAGGCCCCATGACCGCGTGACCCACCGTGACCAGCTGACTTTTGCGCAAAATTCAGCCGTAAAATTCAGCTGTACGCACGCTAACTTTTGCCCTTAATAGATTATTAGCTATAGACTCTAGAGATTATAAGCTATAGACTTACAGCTGAATTTTACGTTGCTTGCGCAGCAGCTCGCAAGTACCATCCTACTTAATATGCATCTAGGCACCCTTTAGCTACCCCAAGACTCGACCACTTTTCAGCCTTCTCTGAATTACAACGTTTTAGCACCATGAAGGCTTAGCAACTCTATCCACTGCGTACCGGCTGAATTGCCGGTAGCAAAGCGCAATACGGTAGAGCTAGCACACATGACGGCTAGAATCCCATGTTAAAAGGATAGACAAACACCTTTAACCTGAAATTGATAAAGTAGACCTTTTAAGGCGCGAACGGGAGCTGCTGCTAAGGGTGGCCTTACCCGCTCACTGCGCCTTGCCTGCCGCTGCCCTTCCCCGCGCGGCGCGTGCCCGCCCCCTGTGCTTCCCCGTGCAGCGCATTTGCGGGCCTCTCTGACCTTCCATGTGCAGTGGCTGCCGCCACGTGCCCCTCCCATACATGTGACTGTCCTTACCCGTGCGGCGCCTGCCGCCACATACCTGGTTCCCGCCTCCAAACGCCCTCATTCCGGCACGCATATACGTCAATTGGATTGCGACGGGGGGGGCTGATGTCATGGCCGCGAGCGGTTGTGTAGGACGGGTTGCCTACACGCATGAGCGGAACACTGGGGAAGGCCCGGGTGGGTATGCAATAACACATCGGCGTTGGTGCATGGGTGGGGACGATAGGGATGCCTGCGCGCAGGTGGTTGGGAAGGCTGTTGTGCCTGCGCGCATGAAGAACACATCAGGTGAATGAACAGCATGCCCTGGTGTTGAATGGCGAGGGTGGACGTGCGTTACAGCCCAACCTGGTGCCGGTCAATTCCAAGGTCTCCAACCAAAGGCGAACAGGAACACACAGCTTCCCCCCTCGACTAACGATCCGCACTCCCCCCGAAGACATCCTCGCACTGCCCAAATAATGGCGCCCTTGCGCAGGCAACCCCGTCCTTCCCGAACCCTTGCAATCCTGCGCATTTGCACCACACAAGGCATACCGCCATGCAGACATACAATAGTCTAAGGGCACTTACAACTCGCTTTCCGCAGCCACCTAGCGTTCCCTTTGTTGATAATACACGTATACAGCGGAGGAACGGGGCGGGAGGGGCGGGAGGGGCGCGGCAGCTGGGCCCAGGGGTGGGGGTGCAGGGGTGGGGGTGCAGGAGTCAGCGTCAAGGGAGGGGGAGGCTGCTGCGACGTCGGGTGCGGCTTGCCAGGCAGTGGGGGGTGCTCCACCGAGGCTGCAGTGGCGGCGAGCGGGAGGGAGAGCGGCAGCTGCCTCTGCCGCCTTCCCTGATGCGCCGGGGCTCCTGCCGCCACCTGTAATCCGTGTGCAAGGGCAGGCTGCGGAAACTGCGGCGACGGCTGCGACGGTTTGGGAGACGGTGGATGGTCAGAAGAGCTGCTGGATAATGAGACGGCGGTGAAGGAGTAGGCGGAAGCGGCGGCCGAGGCGGCGGCATGGGGGTGTGAGCCGTCGCGGTACGAGGTCTTGGGCGACGGCGAGGGAGGCGGTTAGCTGGACTGCACCAAACGTCACCAGCAGCGGGCTGGGCGGTGGGTCAGCAGGTAGGGGCCATCCGGGGCGGGGCGGGGCAGGCGACAGCGGTTGTTGGCTGGGTGCTTCCGTTGGGGGGGGGGTGGCGGCGGTGATGGCGGCTAACGGCGGCGTAGCTGACGGACCCGGCTCTGGACGGGGCTGAGTAGGCGCCGGCAGCAGCGGCGGCTGCCTCCGCCAACCGCTTTGAGGGCCCCGCCCGGGCTACAAGAGCTGGGGAGGCCGCAGCATGGGCGATGGCGCTTTGGGAGGCGGTGGATACCGTAGGAAAGGCTGGGGGTGTTGAAGGAGGGGGGCCGGAGCAGTAGGAGGCGGAGGGGGAGGAGGAGGAGGAGGAGGAAAAAGGCACTTGGGGCGGGGTTAACGCTGTGTGCTGGAGCTTGGCAGCGACGTTGGGGCCAGGGGATAGCGGTGCAGGGCTGACCGGGGCCAGCCGAGGGCGGCGTTGGGAGGGGTGACAGCGAGTGGGGTGCCGTGCCGCCCCGCCTGAGGTACAAGGGAGGCGCCCGAAGGTGCGGGCGGCAGAGGGAAAGATGCATCCCACGATGCGCTGAGATAGCAGCAGGAGGACATGCGCTAGGGGCGGGTGGTGCAGGGCGATGTAAAGATCACGTCAAAGAGGAGGGATTGAGTGAGGAGAGTGCCATGATAAGGAGGAGAGGGAGGGAGGGAGGGAAGCGGGTTGTTGGTCACACGGTAAGAACGGCAGCGAGTAGCAGGAATAGTATGTGATGGACGACACGCAAACGACACGCACGCGACAAACGACGTTCACTGCCTCCCACTTGCCTTACGTTCCCTCACTACCCGTGCCCTGTTGCTCTATACGAAGGGGACACGTGGGTCAGGAACGGACAGGTGGCAATCAGGATGAGGGGTGGGCAGATCTCTGGGTTTGCAAGGGAGGGGGCCAGGGAGGAGAGGACGATGAAGAAAGGGGAGGGCAGGAAAAAGATGAGGGCAAGGAGTGCGTATTGGGTCAAGCGGCAGGGCAGGCGGCTAGGGGGCCTGCGTGGGGCGCAGCTGGGGCCATGCACGTCAGAGACCAAGCACGAAGCCCCCACCGCCTCTCCCCCGCCCCTGCCTTACCTTGTACACCTCGTCCGCTGCGACGAACTCGGAACCGCTCAGGTAGGGCGGCTCGCCTGCGCCTGCTGCACCTGCTCCCCCAGCACTGACTGAGTCCGCACCACCAGCTGCTGCCGCTGCAGCTACTCCTGCCGCTGTCGCCGCTCTAGATGCCGCGGGCGGCGGCGCCAGGCGCTTCCGCTGTGTCTGCGAGAGGAGGAGAGGAGGGCAAAGGCTTTGTCGCCGGCAACGCCTAAGATGCCAAACTCCTGTTGCCAGGTTTCTTGTCGCGGACGACGCCCAATCTGCTATACTCTTCTTCGCTGATGAAAACGAAAATATTGCCAGACTCCTCGTCACGGGCGATTTCACGCATGCTGTCGGACTCGCTCCTCGTCGCGAGCCATTTCGAGCCGGCCGGGGGATCCAAGCCGCAACTGCTTTTGGTCATACAGCACGAAGCAATGTACTTTAGCCGGAGAATTACGAAATGCTGTAACAATCTGGGCTTCTTGGTAGCGGATACGTGGTGACGATGTCAGAGAATGTTTTCTGAGTTCGCAAACAGCTTCAGGAAAAGCCACCCAATACTGGACCTGTCAAAGTGTGGACGAAGAGCGGTACATGGCTGTTTCCTGTGAGCCATGTGGCCAGCGCCGATCATGCGGTACAAAGCGAATGACGGCAGTTGATGGATAGGACCTCCCACAATTGCGATTACTTTCTCCAAGTCATGTTACACACACAAAGCATAGCGTTTTTTAATACAAGCAACTGATCGGTACCATTTGGCTGAGCACAGCAGGCGAGAAGCGTTCACTGTAGACGACTGCAAGAAAAGTACCTGCTTAAAGGCAACATAGTAACATAACGATTAAATTACAGTCTTTATATAGTACTACAGAGGCTGGGAAACTGGCGGAATTTGTTACCAACTGGTCGACATGACAACAACATGAACCGCTCCACTGCGTTACGCTGCCCGGAGCAATTTGTAGGTGGTTTTTAATTATTATTATTATTTTTTCGCTATTGTTTGTGCTGCGTGTAAGTATGGGTGTCGTATGTTGTCGTACTGATGCGTGGTTTGGTTGTGTCCTGTTTCCTTTGTGTGCTTATCTATTGTTGCTTTGGTGGGCTTGGTGGTCGTGGCCTTATTCAACATCTTCCTCTGGGGTGCCTGTGTGCTCTTCCTCCTCCACTTTGGCAATTGCTTGCTGCTGTTGGCAGAGGTGTGCAGCCTGTACATCTCTAGCATCTTCCTCCTCTGCATCCTCTGCTTCAGCCGGAACTCCATGTTAGTTTTGCTGGGCCCACTGGGTTGTCCGCTGGCCTTGTGCCCGTGGTGGAGGCCATGGCGGAGGTGTCCAGGCCTCCCCTACTGCCAACGGGCGCGTCAACCACGTGGAACCTTTCCTGTCCACCCAATGTTGGCACGAAGCAGCTGGTAGATTGGGTGCACTGCTGCCCAGGGCCGCAGGGGGCACCGACCTGGTGGCCTGCATCCACACACCGTGCACACCGCCGTGGGTGCATGCCGCCGGAACGCTGCTTGTAGCCCTAGTGCTAGCTGAAGAATTGCTGTGAAGCCCCCTGCCCCTACTGGGACCGCCCGTTCGTCTGCTGCTGCACCACCTGGCCCGCATGGAACCTGCTCTGCTGGTGTGTGTATCCGGCTCCACACCGTTCTGGCCAAGTGTTAGGTACATGTGTCTCATCATCAGGCCCGCAGTACTACGGGCAGGAGGTGCTCCTGCTGCTGCCTGCTCTGCTGCACTGCTTGTCTGCGAGCTCTTGCGTGTGCGGCAGCATTTTGTTGGCGTCCTGCGTTGGCCTCCGTGCCAGTCTGTGCCTGCCGGGCTGCGTGTCGCAGTTCTGTTTCTGCCTGCCGTGCGGCTACTCCTTGCTTGCTGCAGTAACCTCGTCCGCCGGTGTGCTCTCAGCCGCTCCGCCTCCCGTTGCCGAAATGCTTCTGCCTACGCCCAGAGCCCACGTAATGTACATGACTGTGTCTGCGAGTGAGGGTGCAGGTGTTGGGTTTGATGCTGCTGCCTGCTGCTGAAGGCCCGGGTGGCCCTGGCCTTGCTGCACGACACCTTCCTCGTCCTCCTCTGCTTCCCGGGTGTCTGAGGGCTCCTCCTCATCCATGCCCCCTACTGCGGCCTCCACTTCTGCGTTGGCTTGCTGCACTTCACGGCGGCGCAAAGCCAGAACATCCCAGCCTCCCTCATCGTCATCCTCCATGTCCATCTGCTTCTGTATACACGCCCTGCTTGTCCTGATATGCACCCTGGCCTGGTTGTTGGCCTTTTGCTTGTGGAGGCGGCCATGGCGGAGGCGTGTTGGCCTCCCCTTCTGCCACAGGGCGCGTCCAGAACGTGTGTCACTCACGCGAGACCTCCTCTCTCCATCCAATGTCGGCACGCACAACTTGGATCAGTGGGCGCACTGCTGCCCAGGGCCGCAGGGGGCACCGACCTGGTGGCCTGCAGCATCCACACGCCGTGCACATCGCCGTGGGTGCATGCCGCCGGAACGCTGCTTGTGGCCCTAGTGCTTGCTGCAGAACTGTTGTGAAGCCCCCTGCCCCTACTGCGACTGCCCGTTCGTCTGCTGCTGCACCACCTGGCCCGCATAGAACCTGCTCTGCTGGTGTATCCGGCCCCACACCATGTGGGTCTGGTGTTAGGAACATGAGCTCCAACACCTGGCGCACTATACTGCCCGCTGGTGGGAGTCCAAATGCCTCCTCAGCGGCTTGTTCCGCTTCATCTGCTTCTGCATGGGCTGCAGCTGCGTTGTCTTGCCCTTCCCTACCTGCTTGGTCTTGGGTTTGGGCCCCCCCTTGGTGCTTGTCGCATTGCATTCTCATGCTGTCTTGTCGCTGCACCATAACTTTTCTTTCTTCTTTGCTTATTTCTCAGGCCTAACCATATCCATTTTGACTGTCTCCCTTTTGACCCGCGGCCCCAAACATAAGAAGCACCTACCTTTTTATTTCCGCTGCAGTGCTTCATGGGAGCTATCATAGAGGTGTACCGCTTCTGGTTGTCCTCCGCCCCTAGCCACAGGTTTTGATTTTCTCCATGCTGTGCACCCAATGTCCGCATGCCGTGTTGAGTGTGTCTTGGGGTGCGTGCCTTGCTGGTGTGAGTGCTAGTTCCTGCCTTGCTGGAGATGCCTCGTCTTCCGAACTGTTGGCCATTGGTTTGCTGTCCGTTCCTGTTGACGACGCCCACCTGCCTTGATTGGTTTGTGTTTATGCCGCTGTTGTTTTTTTGCTTGTTTTTGATTTCTCTGTGTTCCCGTTTCCCGTGTGGATTGGTGGTCGCGGACCTGTTTTCTTAACGTTTTGTAGTTTCCCTGTTGCTTCTTTTGTTCTATGTGTTTTGTTGTTGGCGTTGTTGTTGTTGGCGTTGTTTGGGCGATTGGGACTGCTCTGCTGGTGTTTCTGGCCCCACCCCATGTTGGTTTGGTGTTAGGAACAAGCACCTGGCGCACCATACTGCCCGCTGGTGGGAGTCCGAATGCGGCCCCCGCTTCCTCAGCCGCTGCCCTTGCTGCTTGCCGCCTTGCGTTTTCACGCTGTCTTCTAGCTGCACATTGCTCTGGGCTACGTGCTGCCCTCCATGCTCGCACCCTTGCTGTTGCTCTACGCCGCCGCTCCTCTTCAGGGTCATAGTCATCGGAACTGTCGGCCATTGCAATCTGCGGCCCGTTGCTGTTCGCAACGCCCTCCTGCCTTGCTTGACTTATGATGCCACTTCTGTAAGGAAGTATGACTGAAGAAGTAGGTTTCTTGCTAGCTGCCGTGGTGCGTGGAAGCAGATGGCGCGCTTGCATGGGTGTACGACAGCGATGGCAAATCGACCCAGCCTATCAGGGCTGTCCACGCGTTTGTGCTTTTAACTGCCGTTGTGATTGATAGTATCGGGTGGCCATCCCTCTGCCGGGATTGTGGCCGCCTAGGTGTTGCACCTCGATATAGTAATAGAGAACTTTACAATAGTTCCTGAGCAAACTTACTATTAGCATCAATGAGCACACAGGAAAAAGATCAGAATACTAGTGATAATGATGCCCAGCAGCGGGGCGCTGGCAAGGGCGAGGGCGGATCATCCGCCCGGAACTGGGATGCGATGTGGGAGGAGATGCAGAGGATGAAGGAGGATATGGATACGCAGAAACGGCAAATGGAGGAGGAGCGGCAGAAGTTTATGGTGGAGCGAGAGGAGCTTTACACCAAGTGCGATGTTCTAGCTACCCAGGTAGCTAAGAACGCCGCCATGATGCTGCCGCAGCTGTGTGAACCCGCCAGCATTACTAGGAATATTACCCTTCACGAGGAATTCCAGCGCTATAGGGACATGCGCATCGAGGCGAGCTCGCTGCAGACCATGATCGGCGAAGGAGATGGCTCGCCGGAGGCTCAGCGGGCTGCGGGCTCGCTGAACCGCTTGTGCAACCTGATGGACTTGCGCCTGACGTCTATTATTGCCGCGGGCCAGTCATCATCAAACGCTAAGCAGGAGATCGCCAACGAGTACTTCCGGCGCTTGCGTGGGAAGATTGACAACCCCACTGGCGCGTGGGCCAAGGGCAACCTCTCTTTCGGGGACGTACAGCACGACATCAAGGGCGAGGCAGAGAAGGCGGTAAAGGACTCCGCGGGGAGCAGCAACGAGAACAACCACAAAGGGGAGAAGCGGAGCAGCGAGCAAGCGGGCAGCAGCTACAGGCCAAGCAGCAGCTACAACAACGGAGGCAGCTACAGCGGAGGCGGTTACAACGGAAGCAGCTACAGCTACAAGGGTTCCAAGAGGCCGGAGCAGCAGCAGGACAAGAAGGCGAAGCACTGATGCTTTGGTGGTTACGGCCGTTTGGGCCTATGGAGAGTCTGGCGTGTGAGGCGCAGCGCGAGCAACCTTTGGCGATTATTATTTATTTGGGCCGTTTGGGCCGTGATGGGCCGTTGGGCCGTGAATTTAGCCTTATCCTCGTTTGGAGGTATGGCAGGATGGAGCGTGGCGCTGGCGACGATCGTCATCGTCTTATCGCCGTCAGACCGTTGGGGTCGCGGTATTAACGGAGAGTAACTATAATGCATTGGTATTTTCTAAGGTCTTCGACGTGGACGGAAGAACAGGAACTTCGAATGGTTTAAGCGGCCGTGGAGACGGTTAAGAACTTACTTACTCTTTGATTGCCAACTGTTTTATCGATTTAATTGCGCCAGAGTAAGGCGGAACCCTGGTACTGTACAACATTCGTCTATCTGGACGAGTGCTCTTTCGACTTCCCAGTTGTAAGGCTACTATTCCTTCAAGAGTTTTGGAATCTACTTCGCCGCTACGCAGCATTTTCTCTCAGTACTGATCAGCCAATACGTACGGCCTGTGTATTGGCGTCAAGCAGGTTGCAAATAATTTATCTTAACTCCGTTAGACACCGTCAGCGAATAAAATGTCTGGACTGAAACGCAAACCGGGTGACATTTTTCACAGCGTGGCATCGTCCTTCGCGGGTGCAAAGAGGCATGAGCCGACTACGGGCTCAGAACCTAGGCTTTCAAGCACTCTAGGCAGGGGGGGGGTAGGAAGCGCAAAAATAGACCCCAACCCTCAAATGGAAGGTGCTTTGCGTCGGGACTCCGAATCTGCTTTCAGATTTCTGTTTGGAGTTGTACGAAAAAAGTTATGGGCTTGCAAAGTTGGTTGTACGGCAGGGGTGGGTGGGTGGGTTCAGGGCCCCAATGACTTTTTTACATGAACCTCCGGAAAATTTTTCCAGGCCTCGTGTTAGGGTTTTGAAAGCTGTATTGCCATCCTTTCTTCGTTTCTTATACGTATAATTAGTTCTATCAACAAAACGGTCACTTCTCGGCTTCCGATGTTCCAATGACACTTCACCTCTGAACCACGCTAGCCGAACGGAACTGCCCAATCCCCAAACGTACAAGAAACAACTTATGTAGAAAGCATATATTGCGAACGCGGCTAGTCGGCCCTTTGTAAAGGCCTAGCATAGCAGCTAGCATGTCGCATGTCCCCATGGATGTGGAACACGACTGAGGAGGCGGGATGGGAGTAGACAGACTAAGCTGCGAGGAAGCACTCACAGTGACCACGAATGGGGTGGGGATGCAGAGCACAGAAACAAGAAGGTGTGGGAATTGGTGCCAGGGGCTATGGTCGAGGGCCCAGCGTCACAGGGGGAAGAAGAGGCAGGAGCAGGGACCTGGAACGTGGTGGCGCCGTTGTCTCGGTTGGTGAAAACAGAACTGGCGGTGGAATGGCGCAAATGGAAGGGCCATGATGCTTCCTAGGCGCCAAATACATAACATCAGTCAAGCTGGGGCCAAGAACATGGTTACCTTAGCCGTCCATAGTGCAACGCTGTGACATTAACTTCCCAGGGGGTTTGGGGTTTTTCGACTGCATTTAATAGAGCTTGCGGAGAAGAACCTAGGCGCTTTTCTCCCGGGCGTTTTGGCATAGTTTACAGGTTGTACGACACGCTTGGCGGTGGGTGGGTGGCTCCGAGGCCTTCTCTTTGGAAATTTCGGGTTGGGGTTTATAAGAAAATTTCTTACCCCCCCCCTGCTCTAGGTACTAGTACTCCTCGCGGCACAAGCAGCGTTGCGGCAACGCACAAGCATCAGCGCCTGCAGATCTCGGCGTCGGCGGTGACAGAACAGGAGGAATCTGGTCCTGTTGCCAGGCGCGCTTTTGCATACCCTTTTAAGACACTGGTTCTTGGCAAGGAGCGCACTACACCAGCCCCGCTTGCGTCGTCGGCAACGATTCCATCCTCGCAAGTGCGGGACCGGGACAAGATCTCTGTAGCGCCTCAGAAGGCGGCGACCTTAGCGGGCAATGCGGGGCCATCTGGTTCCAAAGCTGCAGTTGTCAGTGAGCGGGCGGCGGCATCCGGTGCAAGTCAGGTGGAGGCACGCATGAACGCGGCTGCGGCTGTATCCAGCAGCGGAGCAGGTGCGCAGGGCTTGGAGGACTTGGCAGGAGAGTACGAAGGGCCGGCGCACCCGCGTGGCAACCAGCCACCGCTCATGCGCGGACGGTTGAAGGCCAAGGAAGCGTTTTGGCGATCTATCGTGCGATCCAAGCTTGTGCTATCTTTTATCATCTTCGGCTTTTCTCTCAAATGGCTGCCACATGTGGGGCCACCGTCTAGCATTATGCTGCCAAACCACCAGTCAGCTTTCCAGCACGAGTCTTTCGTGGACTCGGCTATTGAAGAACTCGTGGCAACGGGGGCCGCTAGGCAGGTCGACCACCAGCCGCACTGTGTACTACCGCTGGGTGTGGTGCCGAAGAAGGGGTCGGATAAGTTCAGGCTCATCTTTGATGCACGCTATGTCAACGAGCATCTGTATGTGCCGAGCTTCAAGTATGAGGCGTTAAGCCACTTGTCGGAAGTCCTTGAACCAAATGACTATATGTTTACTGTTGATTTGAAGTCGGGGTACCACCACATCGACATGCATCCCGATGCGTGGGAGTATCTCGGGTTCCATTGGAAGGGCAAGTTTTACTACTTTGTTCAACTGCCGTTTGGTTTGTCCCCTGCGTGTTGGGTGTTTACTAAGGTTACACGGGAGCTGCAGCAGCATTGGCGCTCTCAGGGCCATCGGTGTTCATGTTATATTGACGACAGCATCCACGCACATAGGGACAAGGAGAAACTCCTTGCCTGGCGGGAGCAGGTGCTGGCAGATTTGGATGCTGCGGGATTCTTAGTTAGCGAGTCTAAATGTTCCCTTGAGCCAGAGCAGCGGAAGGTGTACCTGGGCGCCCTCGTGGACACAGTGCAAGGGTCGTTGTTCGTTCCAGAAGGCAAACAGGATGCCATAAAAGCTGCCATGCGAGGGGCACTCAACGTGTTTCACAGCGGGGGCAAGTTCCGGGTTCGTGACTTGGCATCAATTTCCGGAACGCTTCAATCAATGTCTTACTCGTTTGGCACTATCTCCAACCTCATGACGAGGCGCATGGCCGCTTGGGTGGCGAGTGAGATAGCCTTAGGTCATACGTACAATCACCACAGGTTACTGAACGCCGAGGTGGCGGGAGAATTGGAGTTCTGGTTACATTCCTTTGAACAATTTGATGGGTTTAAGCCCTTGTGGAGGCCTCCTCACATCCACTCGATTATTATTCATACAGATGCCGCCGGCCGGTCTGATTACTCATACGGCGGCTGGGGAGGTTGGACGCGTTCGGTCAGTGGCAACCTTGCAATTGCATCTGGGAAATGGGATTTTGAAACCGTCGGGCGGTCATCCACCTATCTCGAGTTACTGGGTGCCCTTAATGTGCTTAAGAGCCTTAACCGAGACGGTGGTCTCGTTGGGCAACGGGTCCTGCTGCGCACGGACAGCCAACCAATGCGTGATATCCTCGATAAAGGTGGCTCAGTGGTAGCGGCTATCCAGGACGTCTGTATGCCGTTTATGTGGTACTGTATTGAGAACAGCATTGACTTACTTATGGAATGGGTACCACGGGAGTTGAACCAGTTTGCTGACAATCTCTCTAAGAGGCAGGACTCGTGCGATTGGAAGCTGAACCCGCGAATCTTTAATGGCTTGGCCGCAAAGTGGGGTGTACAGGGCCGTTTCGCTGTGGATCTGTTCGCATCGGATACCAACCGCCAGCTCGAGCCGTACTACAGTTACCACCACACCCCGACGTGCGCTGGTGTCAATGCTTTTGCGTACCGCTGGCCTGTTGCACCGGATGTGGCTTGGTGCAACCCACCATTTGCAGTCATTGGGAGGGTGTTGGCCCATGCCGCGGCATGCAAGGCGCGCATGTGCCTAGTGGTGCCTTTCTGGCCGAGGGCGGCATGGTGGCCGCGTATTATTGCCGATAAATCGACATTCCAATGGTTTGTGCACGCGGTGCAAGTGCTGGAGCAGGCAACGGACTTGTTCCTGAGCGGCTCAATGTGCGCACTTGTTCCCCAGCAAACTCCGGCTTGGAGAACTATGGCACTGCTTGTGGATTTTGGCACTGCAAACACCGGAAGGCCGATTCAGGTTCCTGACTTGTAATGCACCTGTGTTCGATTGGCTCGCAGATGCGGCAACGGTTTCGCTCATCCAGGCTAGCTTGGGCGACTTGCAGGGTCACCCTCGCCTAGCGGAGTCTGTGCAGCTAATAGCATCTATGGGACGGGCCTCAAAGGCCGCAAACACATGGAAAGCGTACGACCCCAGCTGGAAGCGGTTCCTGGATTACTGCAGAGAGTTGCGGGTAGACCCGTTCGCATGCAGCTTGGGCATCGTAGCCTGTTTCCTAGCAGAAGTCTACCAAGCAGCAGCCAAGAGGGGTGTGGGACCCCAGGCAGTCGAGCGGGCCAGCGCAGCGATCTCAGCACACTATGAGATTGCAGGCCTACGGTCACTGTGCCTCACGCCACTGTGCGGGGTCATCAGGGAAACAGCCAGACGGACCCTGGTAGGCAAGCGCTATGTGCGAGAAGACATTACTTGGGAGGAGGTGAAACAAGTGCTTGACTACCACTTTGCAGCCAGCTCAGTGCCTCTGTGGACGCGCATGATCTTGACGGGCGTGGTGCTGTGCTTCACGGCATTGTGTTGTATTACGCTCTGTACTTAGCGTAATCTGAGTAGCAGCTGTGGCTACTAGTCTTACAGCTGTACGTAAGGCTCTGTAAACCCGTTACTGTCAACGGTATTCTCGTACTGTCGCGAGAATGGGACTGTTTCTGTTACAGTCGAGACACTGGTCTCTAGTGCTTAACTGCCTACCGATTATTGTACGTACTGATACGTCTGTCTGGGTCGTCATCTGCAACTTCGAGGCCTGTACGACAACCTCGTACCGCGACGCCGCCTACTTCGGGCTATGCCCACCCTAATCGGTAGTTTTCACTACCACCATCTTTGATGGACTTAGTTATTGGATACCACATAGCTGGTATCGAGACGGTCTTTTCGTAGGTGCTATCGCTTCCGCTGATTTCCGACATCATGGACGAGGAGTTGTCTTACGAGTCACTCATGGCTACGGACAATGGTCTGTCCTTCTAACTGAATTTCTCGCTGCAACTTTAGTTGGGTTCCTGCTAACTCATTAGTTCATTGCAGACGCCGTCGAGGCTGCGCAAGCCGAAGTCGTGGTTGCTAACAACCGCGCTGACGCCGCTGAGGCTCGAGCTTTTGCTGCTGAGACTCGTGCTGTGGCCGCTGAAGCTCGCGCGGCGCTCGCTGAGGCCGCGGTTACGCAATTGCAAAGCGTGATTCGGACCGTTTCACACGCTCTCAACAGCGTTGAGCTGCCTTCCGGTGGGGTAATTCCTGCGCTGTTAACATGTCTGCCACGTGGGGTGGTTTCCGGCTGAATGGCTTGCCGCCTGGGCGAGGTGATGGCGCTCAGCCGCCGGGGCAGGGATTCGATACTCAGCCGTTACCGACGGACCAGGATGGCGAGTATGTGCCGCAGTCACCTGACCAACGGGCTGGGACAGAACGGTCTCTGCAGGATGAAATTGATGCTATGTTCGCCCGGCCACGAACTGACCTGCCCCGTGACCCACGCCCACGCCGTTTTCCTCCGTTTTCAGCCACGCGCAATGCTGGCGGCGCGGCTGCTGATGCCGCGCCTGCCCCTGCCGCTGCTGCGCCTGCTCCTGCGCCTGTGGCTGCTGCTGCTGTCGCGCCTGTTCGCGCTGATGAGGTACTTAAAGTTGATGTTCCGGTGTTCGGATTCGCTCTAGTGAGTGGAAACACGTTACCCTCGCTGACGGAGGTAAGCAGGACATTCTGGGCCAAGTGACGCTGCGCCTGTCTGTAGGGCACATGCATCTCACGCTGCAGCCGTTTGTCTTGCCAGAGCTCACTGACGCTGCGTCGTACATCTTGGGATCTGCTACCCTTGATAAGTACGCTGCCGTACTCGATTTCGGTGCTCGCTGTTTGCGCCTGCGCAAGGGCACTCTGACCTGCAAGGTTCCTGTGTGTTTTGCGTCGAGTACACCTGATGCCTCTCCGCCCGTTGTTAACTTTGCCGCTGCTGCTCTTTGTCAGCAGGCCGTGCCCGAAACGGTTGGTCGCAAGGCTGCTGTGCGCATGCTTCGTAAGGGAGCCCATGCCTTGCTCGTCCGCCCTAAGCTGCAGCTTAACAACGCTGTACCGCAGTCCGCTGACAAGGACCCGCAGGTTGAGGCTCTGCTGGAAGAGTACGCTGATGTGTTCCGCGAGATTCCTGGTTTACCGCCCATGCGTCCCGTGGATCACACCATTCCCCTGATGCCTGAGGCGCAGCCTGTTTCGCGCCCCATGTACCGCCACAGTCCCCTGGAGTTGGATGAGGTTAAGCGTCAGGTGACTGACCTGCTGAAGAAAGGTATGATCCGCCCGAGTACGTCCCCGTATTCTGCCCCCATTCTGTTCGTGGGCAAGAAGGACGGTACGCTGCGCATGTGCATTGACTACCGGGGTCTTAACGCTGCTACTGTTAAGAACAAGTACCCGCTGCCACGGGTCGATGATCTCTTGGATAAGCTGAAGGGTTCGGCGTACTTCTCTTCCATTGATCTGCAGCAGGGTTATAACCAAATCCGCATTGCTGACTCTGACATTCCAAAGACTGCTTTCCGTACTCCGTATGGGCACTACGAGTACACTGTCCTCAGCTTTGGTCTTGTTAACGCCCCTGCCACGTTCCAAGCCGTTATGGACCGTACCTTCAGGCAGTACATTGATAAGTTCGTCGTTTGCTATCTGGATGACATCCTAGTCTACTCTAAGACCAAGGAAGAACACCTGGAGCATCTGCGGCTCGTGTTTGACATCCTTCGGAAGCAACAGCTGTACGCCAAGCGTTCCAAGTGCCATTGGGCTCAATCGCAGGTTGAGTACTTGGGCCACATCGTTTCTGTTGACGGTGTTCGCATGGACCCCCGCAAGACTGCTGCTGTGCGGGATTGGCCTGTTCCGACCAATGTTCAAGAGCTCCGTAAGTTCTTGGGTCTGACGAACTACTTTCGTAAGTTTATTGCGCGCTACTCTGTTCTGGCGGCGCCTCTTACGAGTCTCACGGGCAAGAATGCTTTCTCGTCCCCTGCTGCCTGGACTCCTGCCTGCCAAGCTGCTTTTGACGCCATTAAGCGCACTGTTGCTGGTGATATCGTTTTGCGCTTCCCTGATTTCTCCCTGCCTTTTCGTGTCGAGGTTATTACCGATGCGTCCCTTTACGGCACTGGAGCTGTTCTGTTGCAGGAAGGGCGTCCTGTCGCCTTCACGAGCAAAAAGTTCTCGTCCGCCAAGCGCAACTACACTACGGGTGAACAGGAATTGCTCGCGGTGTTGCATGCTCTTCGCGAGTGGCGCTGCTATCTGGAGGGCCGTCCGTTTGTCGTCAAGACTGACCACAAGCCCCTCACTTTCTTGCAAGGGGTCCCTACGTTGAACCGCCGACAGGCTCGCTGGATGGAGTATATGGCGCGTTTCAACTACAACTGGGAGTATCTGTCCGGCTCGCTCAACATTGCTGATGCGCTTAGCCGACACCCCAACTTGCATGCTGTCTTTCTGTCTGCGGTTACGCGTAGCCAGACTGCGCAATCTGCCCAGCCGCCGTCCGTTTCTGAGTTTGCTGCCCGCATTAAGCGTGGTTACTCAACTGACCCATGGTTCACTGTTGCCAAAAATACCGCGAGGCTGACTTCTGATCGTGGTTTTTGGGTCCGTACAGATGGTGATCGCCGACAGTTTGTCGTCCCGAATGACGACGCTCTGCGCCGAGATCTCCTGCGGAAGTTCCATGACGGTCCTCTGGCTGGACACCCTGGCTGCACGCGTTTGGTGGAACTCCTGCGCCGTACCTTCTGGTGGCCTCGTATGGCTAAGGACGCCGAGAACTACGTCCTCTGTTGCAGTGAGTGTCAGGCTAACAAACCCCTGTCGGGCAAGGGTCACGGTCTGTTGCAACCGCTGCCCATTCCGAATGCGCCCTGGGAAAGTGTCTCTATGGACTTTGTTGTCGCACTGCCCAAAACTGAAGGGGGATACGACGCTGTCCTTGTCTTGGTTGACCGTTTAACGAAGATGACACACCTGGCTCCTACCACCACCGCCTGTACTGCTGAGCAAACTGCTCGCCTGTTCTTTGATAACGTGGTACGTTTGCATGGAGTCCCTGCTAACGTGGTCTCTGATCGTGGTCCTCAATTCGCAAGTAAGTTTTGGGCTGCGTTGGGTGAGCTGCTGTCTATGCGCGTCAATCTGTCGACTGCGTATCACCCTCAGACCGACGGTCAGACTGAGCGTGTTAACCGCACGTTAGGTGACATGCTGCGCAACTTTGCTGGCCGTAACCCGTCTGCCTGGGATACATACTTGACTGCTGCTGAGTTTGCACTGAACAATGCTGTGAACCGCTCCTCTGGGCAAAGTCCGTTCTTCCTGATGTACGGATTCCATCCCGCCTTGCCTGTTTGGCGTGAGTTGGACGTCTCTGTTCCTGCTGCTAAGACGTTTGCCAAGTCCTTTGTATCCCGCCTTGCCGAAGCCAAGGCCTGCCTCGAAGCTGCTCAACAACGGGCCGCGGATTACTACAACCGCAACAAGAAAGACGTGGTCTTCACCCCGGGTCAGTTAGTGATGTTGAGTACCAAGAACCTTCGCAGTAGGGTCACGGGTCCACGCAAACTGCTTCCTCGCTGGGTTGGTCCGTTCCCTGTAGTACGCATGGTTGGCTATGCTGCTGTTGAGCTACGCCTGCCGTCTGACATGCGGGTTCATTCCACCTTTCACGTGTCTTTGGTTCGCCCATACCGTGAAGCTGACGAGTCCTCCCCTAGTGTAACCAAGGAGCCGGGACCGGTGGCTTGGATTAACAATGAACCCCAGTACTCTGTTGAGCGCATCCTGGATTACAGGCTCCGCCGCGTCCGCTCTGGTCGGCGTCACCGTAACGTGCACGAGTACCTTGTCAAGTGGCTTGGTTACTCGTCTGAGCACAACAGCTGGGAGCCTGCTGCCAACTTCACCCCGGATCTGAAGCCTCTGCTGGATGAGGTCCGTCTTCGGTCTCAAGGGGCAGCGAGGACGCTGCCGCGAGAAGGGGGATAGTTGTTGTATTACGCTCTGTACTTAGCGTAATCTGAGTAGCAGCTGTGGCTACTAGTCTTACAGCTGTACGTAAGGCTCTGTAAACCCGTTACTGTCAACGGTATTCTCGTACTGTCGCGAGAATGGGACTGTTTCTGTTACAGTCGAGACACTGGTCTCTAGTGCTTAACTGCCTACCGATTACTGTACGTACTGATACGTCTGTCTGGGTCGTCATCTGCAACTTCGAGGCCTGTACGACAACCTCGTACCGCGACGCCGCCTACTTCGGGCTATGCCCACCCTAATCGGTAGTTTTCACTACCACCATCTTTGATGGACTTAGTTATTGGATACCACACATTGCTGCGCTACAACGACTTGTCGCACGTGCTCGTGCACGAACGGCTGCTGCGCATCTACCTAGGCGATCGCATGGAGATTTTCCTGTGGTGCAGCAAGACGGACCAGCGCGCTGAGGGCACCACCGTCACAGTGGGTGCAACGGGTGGGCCGTACTGCCCGGTGCGCATGGTCAGCGATTTGCTCGCAGCCGGACAGTACAAGCGGCAGCCAGCGCAGGCCGTCTCGCAGACCGGCCGTGTAGTGGAGACGGAGGATGTAGGGCCGCTGATGCGCCGTGTCATCAAGGGGGAAAACGGAGTGCAGAAGCTGGAGCAGGTCACGGCGCCGCTGGACAAGCCCATCCCGCCCCTGCCTGATGCAGCCGTGCGGCAGGCGGTAAATGACCTTTTCCAAGCAGCGGGTATCAGCAAGCGGATTCGCTTGCATGCCTTCCGGGCCGCCGGCGCCTCGGCCGCCGTCAACGCGGGGGCCGAGAGAGAGTCGGTCCAAAACCTCGGCCGCTGGCGCAGCGCGGACGTGATGCAGCGGCATTATATTAAGGAGAGCACGCAGAAGAAGCGGGCCCTTACCGCACGCATTGTCGGCGCGACCCAAGGTTAAGAGCACTGTGGTCCTTTCAAGTTCTGGGTGCTGTCAGCACAATCGGCCACTAGTGCATCTTAAACATGGGTTGGGGCGTCGGGATGTGTGGGTTAGGGTAGGGTTCTTGGCGTGGAGGCGACGTACGGCTGGTTGGCTTCGGCTTACATTATCTGCTGTAACGCATCACGGCAGCTAAAGCAAGAAGATGCCACTTCTGTAAGAAAGTATGACTGAAGAAGTAGGTTTCTTGCTAGCTGCCGTGGTGCGTGGAAGCAGATGGCGCGCTTGCATGGGTGTACGACAGCGATGGCAAATCGACCCAGCCTATCAGGGCTGTCCACGCGTTTGTGCTTTTAACTGCCGTTGTGATTGATAGTATCGGGTGGCCATCCCTCTGCCGGGATTGTGGCCGCCTAGGTCCCACCCGCCTGCCCGAGGTCGCGCCTAGCGAGTGGGGGTTTGCTTGCGTTTCGTCTTTAGTAGGACAACCAGTTTGGGGAGCTTCTTGGACGCCGGTCTCTCAATTAAGGGGGACAATCGGCAATCGAGGTGCAACACTGGGTGCTGTCAGCACAATCGGCCACTAGTGCATCTTAAACATGGGTTGGGGCGTCGGGATGTGTGGGTTAGGGTAGGGTTCTTGGCGTGGAGGCGACGTACGGCTGGTTGGCTTCGGCTTACATTATCTGCTGTAACGCATCACGGCAGCTAAAGCAAGAAGTGTGTTCCGGTGGCATGGTATTGGTTGTTACTGTGGCGCACTATGCTGCCCACCGGTGGGAGCCCGCATGCCTCCTCGACGGCTTGTACCACGGCCTCTGCCTGTGCTTCGGCTGCTGCTGCATTGCCTTGCTGTGGCTCCACTGCTTGTGCCTGTCTTGCTGCTCGGCACCTCTGGTTATGGCGCTGCCGAGTTGCTTCCCGCTGCTCGGCGGTGCGGGATGCCCTCCATGCTCGCATCCTTTCACTTTCTCTACGCCGCCGCTCCGCTCCTGGGTCATAGTCGTCATCGGAACTGTCGGCCATTGCAATCTGCGGCCCGTTGCTGTTCGCAACGCCCTCCTGCCTTGCTTTACTTATGTGTGTTCCGGTGGCATGGTATTGGTTGTTACTGTTGTTTTCGCTTTGTCCTTCTGTGTCAATGTTGGGACGCGAAGATGTTTTTTCCTATTATGCGGTTCCCTTCTTGCGTTGCTTCTTCCTTGTGTTATGTGTTTGTGCTTGTTGCTGCTGTTGTATATGTTGCGTAGGCTTTTGGGTGTCATTTGTACGGCATATTTTGGAAGCCTTCCGTGCGGTCTGGAAAGGCTTTTGCGTCCGTTCGCGCTGTGCTGTATACCGTGTGTTGCCTGCTTTCCATTGAGGCCATTTGCGAGGCGTTTGGAGACAATTTTTTGTTACACTCAGGGTGGGGTGGCTAATCCCTTTGCAATCCGTAGGATTGCTCCGGGAACCAGCAGCCACGTTGGCTGCAGAGGATGAGACCGCGCCTGCAGGATACTGTCAACAGAGCATTCCAACAGCCTTTCGAGGCCCTAATGCTCCGGCAGCTGCTGTGTCGGAGCTGACCCCATGGCCCCAGCAGACGCCTCCCCACTGCAACATACAGGAGCTGAGTGGCGCCCATCCTGTACGGCACCTGCAGCAGCGGACAGCAGCGCCAGCCCCTTCCACCTGGAGTCGCTGGAGGGCCCACGGCTGCAGCTGCCATACGCCCGAGGCGGCAGCCGCAGCAGCCGCTGGAGCAGGGGCAGCAGCAAGACCAACCCCGCCACCCTCTGGCACCCTGCAGCTCTCATGCACCAGCAGTGACCGCATCAAACACCGAACAGCCCCATTCCACCGAACGTCCACCGCTGCCGCTGTACCCTCCCCCTCGCCCCCAGCAGCCGACCTTCCTCCTGTGCGCACGCCATCTCCAAAGCACCCTCTTCACCGCCGTCACCCCCCACTCCTGCCACCACAGTCAAGCAGTACGTCAACAGCTAGTAGCGGCTGGGGCCCGGTCGGCTTTGATCCGAGTCTCGAACCTGCGCTGCTGCTGGGCTATGCGGGTCACGGCAGCAGCTAAGGTGGTGCGGCTCCAGCTGCCACCCTGGCAGCCGCCTCATCTCCCACTGCAACACGGTAGCGTCCTAGCGGTGCTGCTGCACACACGCCGGTGTGGGCTTCCCTCTGCAGCCCACCTGGGTGCTGCCGGCGCTGGCAGCCCTGGTGCTGTGACTGCGCTCCAGCCGCCGCCTGGCTCCGAAGCAGCTGGTGGGGGTGCTGGGGGAGCTGGTGCAGCCCACCATGTTAGGCTTTGCACCTGCCAGTGGAACCGTGGGTCGCATGGTGCTCCTGTGAGCACAGTTCAGGCTGTTGGACGAGCTGCCGGGGGTGCATGTACAGCAGGCGTAGCGGGCCGCTGGCGGCGGTTGCAGCGCTGGCACTGGCGGGTGTGGGTGGGTTTATGGTGGTGCGGGCGGCTCAGCAGGGGTGTCTGAGAGTGGTGGAGCAGGCGCTGGGGTTGGGGGTTGCAGAGGGGGTCTGCGATGGGGAGCCAGGTAGCAGAAGAGGCATTAGGGTTTTAGGGTGACCATATGCGCATGCAGTAGCGTGCGGCACGCGCGGATAGAGCGCGCATTGCTCGAGGGAACATGTTGGATGCATGGGGCAATGCATGCTAACTAGTGTGACCCAACGCGGCACCGTAAGTGCCCGCTAGGAAAATCCACTACAAGCCATTCAACCATCTAGCTCAATATGCATGGCTGGGCCGGTTAAAGGAAGCACGATGGAAGCCATGTGTGACCTGGGCGGTCCTAGGTTAGATGCGATAAGTAAACCCACCTTCATGTTGAGAACAAAGCCCGCAACCGTGCGGGATGTCGAGGTCGCTACTCGCGGGCCCCGGTCGACGTCGCTTCAAAGGAAGGCGTAACACTACAACTAGAGCTTAGCGACGTTCTGGGTGCAAGACCCAGTTGTTATTCGTGCAGTGGCTTCTATCCTAAGTGCGCTTGAGTGGGCATCGTCACCCACAATGCGCCCCCTTGCTTGCTAGTTGCCCAGTTGCCTGGGCACACATAAACTTGAAAACGTATTGGAAATTGTTTGTGTAGAGCCAGTGTGGTCGCTTAATGCAAGGGCGACTAACCGTAATACGGATCTTCCTTCCGTACAAGGCAGGCATGAGGGCGTAGTAGTTAAACAACTTCGTGCCTCCTTTCCACGCAGTCATCATAGCTACATAGGTTTATAACCTTCTTTTTGCTCATCTTAAAGGAATTCACATAGCTATTGCTTCCACGGCCACAATGTTTGCAAGGATTTGAAAAAGCGCTGTCCTCTGGGATTAGGGAACACACTACCAAGGGTCAGGGACATACGTTTGCAACTACACAATGAGCTAGTGAGGACGTATGGAGCTATGGAGATTTGGCGCTCGCATGTTAGGTTTGCGCGCGATGTCTGTAGGTATGTGGCTTTGCTGTTTACATTGCTGTTTAAGTTTCAATCATTCAAACATACCAGATTAGCAGAGATCGGCGCCTGTTAAGCCTGTTATACAAACCTTGCGATTTTCGTACCTGATCCAGCGCGCCATCCCTTTTGCGGCTGCAGGATCCTTAAGGAGCAGTTGGATACTGGAGTGCTGTGGACTCGCGGAGCTCCAGCAGCAGCAGCGGCAGCAGCATTAGCAAAATCCGAAAACAACCTTCTGTCCCTTCGGCCATGTCGATTGGACAGAAGGGGCTTTGCAGCCTGAGTCGGTGCAGCGCATTATATGCCTGCACCAATGACTGAAAGGGGCAAAGCCACGTTCTAGGGTCTAGCAGCCTCTCTATCGGCCTTCAGTGCCACTGTCGCACGGCGGCGGTGTGGAGTCTGGCGGAGGGGCAGGTGACACACACGCTGGCGGGGCACAGCACGCGGTGAGGGGGTAGGGGGGTATAAACGTTTTGCGAGAGGTAAGGGGCTGAGCAGGGGGAGGCGGCAGAGGGAGGGGGGAGGCGGCGAGGGACCAAGCTGGGGTTGGCGGGATGGAGGGGTTCTGGTTGGCTTGATGTCCTGCCTTGGTCCTGCCACGCATGCATGTGTAGGGGGTTGTCGGCGGGTTCATGTCTACCCTCCTACCCTTCTCAACCGCCACCCTTCTCAACCGCAGCATCTCCTCTCAACCGCAGCCTCTCCTGATTCTTTGTCGGCCTCCCCCCCTCCCTCTCCCTCTCTCACCCCAGCCCCGCACCACCACCTCCTGCACCGCTACCGCCTGGCGTGCTGCCACCTTCACCGGAGCCGCCCAGCCCCGCATCACTCCCGCCTGGTGTGCCGCTTCTCACATGCGACGGAGCAGCGCAGGTGAGGGCGGTGTGGCGAGGCAGGAGGGGAAGGGGTTGGGGGTAGGGAAGGGGCTCGGGGCAGCTGGGTTTCGTATGTACCTCTACAGCGGCCTGTCGTACTCTGTCGTACGTGTTCCCATACTCCCTCCCTCCCCTTTCCGTTTCCCTCCCGCTCCCCCTCATGCTCTCTTCCTATGTCCCTCTCCTCCAACCTTACCCCATCCTGTCCCACGCCTCCAGTTGCATCACCCCTCGTATGTCTTTCCCACCCCCCTCCCTGTCTCCCTCCCCCTTCCCCCCCAGGTCTACCGCTGGAACTGGTCTGCGTACTCTGCTGCCGCTGCCGCCGCCGCCTCACAGCACCGCTCCCTCGCCGGAGCTGCCCAGCCCCGCACCGCCATCTCCTGCACCGTGCCGGGGCAGGTGACACACACGCTGGCGGGGCACAGCGCACGGTGGGGGGGTAGGGGGTGTATAACCGTTTTGCGGGAGGTAAGGGGCTGAGCAGGGGGAGGCGGCAGAGGGAGGGGGGAGGCGGCATGCAACCCACGCACGCGCACATGCCAGCACTCTCACAGTACCTGCCCCCTCGTCCCGTGCAACCCACACACGCATGCGCCCGCAGCGCCCAGCCCCTGCTTGTACGGTTCCCGCCGCCGCCTCCCCCCTCCTTCCTCCCAAATCCCTCTGACCTTCCCCCCTTCCTCCCCTGCCTCTGCTTATCCCCTCTCTCCCTTCCCCCCCTCCTCCATCCCCAGGTGTGGGACATGAACATCGGCGACTGCGTCATGCAGCTGGCTTGTGACGCGCCGCTCACCGCGGTGGGGATCACCCCCGACAGCTGCGCGGCAGTGGTGACGGCGGCGGACGGCACGGCGGCGGTGTGAAGTCTGGCGGCGGGACAGGTGATGCACACGCTGGCGGGACACAGCACACGGCGAGGGGGTAGATGGGGTCTAAACCGCTCCGCACCGCCATCTCCTGCACCGGCTTGTTCCCATACTGCATCGCCTCCCTCTCCCGTCTCCCTAACGCTCCCCCCCTTCCTTGTGCTCATCCATGTGCCCCCCCCCTCCCATGCAACCGTGTGCCCCCCTGCACCGCTGCAGGCTGGTCTGGTCTGGTCTGGCACCGGCTGGTCTGGCACCGTAGCCCCTCTCCGCAAACAAACTGGCTAAAGCTGCCCGGGACGGAGCTGCCTAGCGTCACGAAGACCGGTAAGTGGCCCATGGGTCACCGCACGCCCATCTCCTACACCGCTCCCGCCTGGCGTGCGGCCACCTTCACCGGAGCCGCCCAGCCCCTCACCACCACCCGGGATTCGTGTGTACCTCCTATAACCGCATGTCGTACTCGGCCGTACGTGTTCCCATACTCCCTCCATCTCCCTCCCGCTCCCCCTCATGCAGCCCTGCATACAGCCCTCGCCTGCACCGCCCAGCCCTTCCCCGCCCTCGCCTGCACCGCCCAGCCCTGCCCCGCCCTCGCCTGCACCGCCCTCGCCTGCACCGCCCAGCCCTGCCCCGCCCTCGCCTGCACCGCCAAGCCCTGCCCCGCCCTCGCCTGCACCGCCCAGCCCTGCCCCGCCCTCGCCTGCACCGCCCAGCCCTTCCCCGCCCTCGCCTGCACCGCCCAGCCCTTCCCCGCCCTCGCCTGCACCGCCCAGCCCTCGCCTGCACCGCCCAGCCCTTCCCCGCCCTCGCCTGCCCCGCCCAGCCCTGCCCCGCCCTCGCCTGCACCGCCCAGCCCTGCCCCGCCCTCGCCTGCACCGCCCAGCCCTGCACCGCCCTCGCCTGCACCGCCCAGCCCTTCCCCGCCCTCGCCTGCACCGCCCAGCCCTTCCCCGCCCTCGCCTGCACCGCCCAGCCCTTCCCCGCCCTCGCCTGCACCGCCCAGCCCTCGCCTGCACCGCCCAGCCCTGCCCCGCCCTCGCCTGCACCGCCCAGCCCTGCACCGCCCTCGCCTGCACCGCCCAGCCCTTCCCCGCCCTCGCCTGCACCGCCCAGCCCTCGCCTGCACCGCCCAGCCCTGCCCCGCCCTCGCCTGCACCGCCCAGCCCTGCACCGCCCTCGCCTGCACCGCCCAGACCTGCACCGCCCTCGCCTGCACCGCCCAGCCCTGCCCCGCCCTCACCTGCACCGCCCAGCCGTGTCCCGCCCTCGCCTGCACCGCCCAGCCGTGTCCCGCCCTCGCCTGCACCGCCCAGCCCTGCCCCGCCCTCGCCTGCACCGCCCAGCCGTGTCCCGCCCTCGCCTGCACCGCCCAGCCCTTCCCCGCCCTCGCCTGCACCGCCCAGCCCTTCCCCGCCCCTCGCCTGCACCGCCCAGCCCTTCAAAATGCTTACAACAATCGGCTGTCGCCCCTGCTGCCAGGCTGCCTTGTAAGGAAAAGCGTTGGCGGACCCTAGCATGATAACCGTGGTGGTGCGGGTCGCAATTACCGTTGGGGTTAGCTAGCAGCAGCCGGGATCCTTCACGGCCAAGGTAAGTGGGGTGATGAGGGGGAAGGTCTTTCCACTTCTAGTGGCTGACGGCACACCACCAGCACAAAAGTAACCACCGTGGGCGCGTGAGTAGGTCGGGGGGGAAAACCGACCTACTCATGCGTGAGTAGGTCGGTGGGTGGGAGACCCTCCCCCAAAAGAGCACAGGGTTAAGGCTAGCAGAAGTGCTGCGCTACACTTTAGGGTACGGGCACGTCGTGAATTGGGCCCTTCCATTAGGCTGATGTAGTACCGCTGGTCAAGGCACGAAAACCTAGCAGCCCCTTTTCGAAAACGGTTTTCGAAAAAATAGGCCCTTGGGAGGCCCCGGATCGTATACGAAAAATTTCAGGGGTCGACCGTGAGGGCTGTCGAAAATATTGGGCCTAAAACGTCACTTATCGTGGGGTTCCACGATCGCCCTGGAGGGAAGATAGAAACACTGCCTGGCGCAGCTTGTGTCTTGCAGTGAAGCTGCAGCCTCGAACGGATCCAGCTGACAAGCTCTTGCGGTCCTTGTTCTTCCAGCAGCAGCAGGGCGTGGACAGCTATGTCTCCTGTGTGATGGGCCAGGAGGGCAGGAAGCAGCAGCAGATCGAGGCTTTGCACCGTGTGATGGTTTGGGCGGTGCATGGGCCCACGCCAGTCACTCTGCCAGGACAGCAGCCTTCAAAGCAGCAACAGCAGCAGCAGCAGGGACAAGAAGAACAGCAACCAACACAGCAACAGCAGCCAGCAGTCATGCATCTTTGCGACTGCCGTACATGCATCAACCCCTGCCACGTTTGGTGGGGCACAGGTTCCCTCAACAGGAAGGGTGACTCCAAGGCCTACAAGACGGTAGTTGAGGAGACCAGATCACGCACCGCTCAGCAGCAGTTCCTCCCTGACGGCACCCCTGTGGAATTCCCGTGATGGTCCGTGTACGGCGTGGAGCAACGAGCAGCAGGGCGGACAGCACCCCTCTGAGTCCGGGGATTTACCGTAGCCAGTCGCGGTCTTGGCGGTGTGGGGCAAGGGGGCCAGGGGGTGACCCACGGGTCGCTTTACGTACGACAGGTGTGGAAACACAGAGCTGCATGTGGTAGGCGTTGGTTGAGTTGTGCACGTGGCAATACTGCTACACGGACAGCGCTGTCCTAGATAGATCGAGAACTGCTGCATGTTACTGCTTGGGGGAATCATCACGGATAGATACATAGTTTGTCTTCTGGCTGTACGATACATGCATGGGGGAGTACTTGCCTGGCAACACGCCCCTGCTGATGGGCAGCAGCGGTGCCGCCGTGGCTCGGTCGGTACCGGTAGTTGGCATCGCAGACAGAGCAGCGGCGTTCTTGGGAGAGACGATCGTATTATTATTGTTGTAACGTGCTCATTGGTAGCGTCTCTGCCTGCTGCAATGAGCATGAGGAGCGGCGGCCGTAAGCGCTAGGCGCTCAAAAGCAGCATCGAAACTTTTCAGCGAGCAAGCACAAAGTTCTATTCTTGATTGAAAGAGCATAATTTATTGAATCGATATCATCAGCTTGCGGCAAATAAAAGTGCTTTTTAGCATTGGCGCCAAGGGGCAAAACCGCAGACGAACAAGCTCTGTGGCCGTTTTTTAATTTTAGCCAGCTTGAAAGGATACAGATAATAACAAATAAGACCATTGTCTTGCCTTTGGCAGGAACGCTGCACAGTCGAGCCTTGGGCTGTCGTGCCCCATCGTTGGCTCGTGCAGTTTGTGGTCACGGGTGGTGACGCTCGCGGGCATGTCCCATGGTTCAGTTGGATGATGACGGTGCGAATTGCTACTGCTGAGGTGACTGAGTGGTTCCGGTTATAATGGCTGGTATTATCGCAGTTCCTTTGCTTTAAGTGTTGTGGGCTGTGGAGAGATCGCTCTGGCGTGTCCAGAGTATCTGTCGTACAAGTGCCTGTCTTGTTAGGCGGCGCAGTGCCCGGGCTAGGGCACTGCGTTTTGCTCACATACTCATGTACTGCCTGTAAGAACCATGAAGGGCTTCATGCGTTCCTGATCTGCGGCGCAGATCTGCAGCTTACATGCGCGCTTAAACGTAGTCACAACCAGCGATCTCCCAAGCGTTGGGCAGCCCAACGTAGCAGTCACAATAGACAGTAGGTTATCAGTTCCCCGTGGGCCTGGTCAGTCCGCGGCTCAGCCGTCTTGAAGCCCGCCCCAGCACGGGACGAGAGGCGCTGAGGAGCGCTCCACGTCTACAGCAAGACTAGGAGTGCGCCTTCCGGTTACGGGAGGCAGAGACGGAACCAGCAAAACGCAGTCATCGGCCGGGCTGGTGGACACGCCATCCTCGCCGAGACCTTCGCTCACCGGTTTCGGGTTGGCAGCGAGCGGTGCAGCGTGGGATCGCAGCCCCTCACGGAGGAGCAGCCGGCAGGGGGGGGAGCAGAGCGGTCCTCCGCCGCTCGTTGTTCAACCCTGCTGGTGTAGCTCAGCGGCTACGCTCAGCTCAGTTCACAGCTCAGCGTAGTGCAGCGCAGACGTAGTGATAGATAGTGAGTGCAACATGTCTCACAGTAACCATCAGGCGTCTGGTGGTCATCGCAGGGAGAGGGGGAACCCTGTGCAGGAGGAGGTGGTGCCGCGACGCCGCGCGGCCAGTGTCGCTGATGTCGGTCAGGGGTGTACCGTGCGGCGCTGGCGGTTGGCGGAGCGGCCATGCGGGCCGCCGGGCAGGTCTTGGCGGGTGCTGGTGCGGGACCCTCCAATGCCCCCCCTCCGGCTGCCGTTAACCTACCGCCGGCCAGTGCAGCCGGTGGCAACCCTGCCGTCCGTCGCAGCCTGCGCGCTCGCGGCATTCCGGCGGAGCCGATGCCCCCGCTCCCGCCTAACAGCAGACGGCGTGGTGCCGCGCCAGCCGCCACGGCGGAGGCCGCGGCGGCCCGGGGGGCTGCAGCGGCAGCCAGCAACCGCGCGGGGACGCCGGTTTCGCTGCGTGACCTGCCAGGGGCTGCGTTCGCTGCTGCAATGGCGGAGGCAGAGGCAGCGCGTCACCTCGAGCGGTCAGACCCCGACAGCGATGTGTCCTACGAGCCGATAGAGACGGAGGAGGAGGCTGGGTCGTTGGCAAGCAGCAGCGGCACCCCCACCCTGTCGCCGGAGCCCAGTGAGGTATACCGACAGCTGTCGCCAGCCCTGGTGGGCAGCCACCGCCCTGCGGGGCGGGCCCTGGAAGGCCGGCAAGTGGTTGGCTCCGCCTGGCTGCGGTCGTCGGTAGCAGCATCGGAGGCTGTTCGCTCGGAGCGCAGCCATGGCACGTCGCGCAGCCACGGCACGTCACGCAGCTCTGGCACATCACGCAGCTCTGCCTCGCGGGCCGCGCGTGAACGGGCAGGAGCGAACGTGACACTCTCGGTGAGGGAGCTCGTGCAGCTTCTCCACGAGGAGCGCTCACTGTCGGCGCTTCCGCCGCCAGCCCCGCCAGAGCCCCTTGTGCCACCACCCATGGCACCTGCTGCGCCGCGGCTGTCCGCGTACACGCAGCCGTCCGTGGTCACCCTCACTGTGCCGCCCCAGCCACTCCCCACGGGACCCGGCTCAGGGCCCCATGCGTCAGTGGCCGCGCCGGTCAACGTGGGTGTGGAGCCGCCGCCCCCGGGGGCGGCAGCAGCCGGCCTGGCGGCGCCCTGCGCCGCTGCTGCCTACCAGGGTGTAGGACTGCTGCCTGTGGCGCCGGCCTACCACGCTGTCCCGCCGCCGCCGTCGGGTCTCCCGGTGTCCCACGTTGCCGTCGGGCCGCCACCAAGCTGCACGCCTGCCGCTTACCCGCTGGTGCACCCGACGCCCGTGCCAGCTCAGCCGCTCCAGCCGCCTGCCGCGCCTGGGGTCGCCCTTAAGCTGGCCCGACCCGGTGAGCTTCAGGACCCGCCGCCACTAGCCAACCTGAGGAAGATCGAGCACCTACCCGCCGAGGGTAGGTGGGACGGGAAGTGGCATACCCAGGGACCCTTCAAGCGTTCGGTGGTAAAGTGGGTCATCTCCTCGGTCGGGTCGCTCAAGTGCCTGAATCATCCCGCGTCGCCGTCGCCGTTTGGGCTGGTGGCGGTCCTCAGCGCGGGAGCCGGTGTGGCTGACACGACCTTTGACAGCTGGTGCCTCAACCTCGACTGGCAGCAAGCGGTCCAGGACGATCACCGCGCGGCTTGGGAGGCCACGGGGGCCGACTGGGTGTATGATGGCCGCGCTGTCCGCACCTCCCCGGATGGCCGGGAGCTCGTACCCCACCTCCTCTGGTTCTGGCTGGAGCGCGCAATCAGCAGGGCCCCGAAGGAGTACGCTGCGGCCGAGCGGCAGCTCGAGGCCTTCACGCTGGGGCCAAAGGAGTCCGCCGGTGCTGCCTACCAGCGCCTGCGGGACATCGCGGCCCTCTGCCTGCCTAGCTTGGTGACGGAGGCGCGGGTGGGGACACAGTTCCTCAGGGCCATCGTCCAGGACAGTGTGCGGGACAAGGTGGACAGCTGGTTCCGGGAGAGGCGCATTCCTCTGGAGGCGGTGACGGCGGATCAGGTCCATAGTGCGCTGGAGGGGGCCCAGGCTGAGCTGGCAACGCGCCGGGCGCCGCCAGCGCCAGTGGCAGCGGTGACGCTGGTAACGGCACCACTGGGTCACCCAACGCAGCAGGAGATGCTCCACCGCTTCCCGCAGCCTGGTCCACCAGTGGTGGTGCGGCCCCGTCCGCCGGGTACCGAACGCTGGTGCATCTTGCACCAAACCAGCCACCACGGGGGGGATGACTGCTTCAAGACCCGGCAGCTGATAGAGCAGGGCCCCGCTGGCCAGGTGAAGTTCGCCCAGCTGGCGCACGCAGGCACGGTGGCGGAGCGGTGGGCACTCCAGGGTCGAGACAGGGAGGGCGGCCGCGGTGCCGGGGGTGCTGCGCCCCAGCCGCAGCCGCGGGAGCCGCGGCAGCCACCGTATCAGCCGCAGCCACCGCGGCCGCCGCCGCCGCCCGCGCAGCATCCTCCTGAGCAGCAGCAGCCACCGCAGTATGCCGTCAACGCCATCTTCAGCGGTGATCTCGCCCTGGGCTGTGATCTCGATCTGCTCGGTGAGGCGTACACCTTCAACACCTCCACCGCTGGTAATCTGGCTCCAGGCCCGGTGCAGTCGGGGCTGCCGCCTGGCTTCCTGGCAGTGCGGGCGGGTCCGCGGTCGCTCAGTTCACGCCCCGGCGGCGACAACGACCCGCCCGGCGCAGCACCGCTGGCGGCCGGTGGGCGGCCTGCCCCGGTACAGGCACGGGCAGACATCAACGGGGGTGGCAGCGGGCTACCTGCCCGCCTGGCCAGGACGGTCACGGACCAGGTTCTGAACAACATCGTCGCCACCTGCGCGCGCCATGACATGCGGCTGGGCCTGCTGGAGCAATACCTGGGGGTGGAGGTGCCGCTGGAGGCGACGGCCCTAGTGCAGCACGAGCAGCATGTCGGAATCCAGTCCACGATGCTGGAGCTACTCAACGCCTCACTGGCAACGGGGGTCTCATGTCGCGGCCTGCGGGCTGGGCGCACGGTGCCGGACTCCGCCAGCAATGTTACCATCATCGTAGAAGACCTGGCGGTGGCGTGGGGGCTGCCGCTGGAGTACGACACCGGCGTCATGGTGCACACCATCTCGGGAAAGTCGCGGGAGCTGGCGCGGGTGCAGGGAGGACTGTCACTCACCATCGCAGCGGGCACGCCGAGGACCATCTCAGTGACGGTCGCGTGCTTCGTGGTGCCTGGGCCGCAGGTCTTTGATCTGCTGCTCGGGGCGGACTGGCTGCGCAGCGTGGGTGCGGTGCTGGATTTTGGCTGCCAGAGCCTGGGGTGCCGCTACCCTGGTCGGTCCATGGCCGGGGCGCCGGTGGTGGGGCTGCCCCTTCGGCCCTTGCGGCCGAGGCCAGGCCTGGCCACGGCTGTGTCTGCTGCGAGCAACGTGATCCATGCGGCGCCTGTGGGAGAGCTGCGGTCGACTGGGCGGGTAAGACGGTCGGAGATGGACAGCGCGGTGCCTGCCGCCAACGCCATGGCGCCGCCGCCGCTGCCTGTCGCTGAGGAGCCGCTGCCGCCGTTGCCTGCCGCCATCGCCGCCGCCGCTGCGCCGCCGCCGCTGCCTGCAGCCGAGGAGCTGCAGCCGTTGCCGGCCGCCACTGCCGCCAACGCCGCTGCCGTGGTGCTGCCAACGTCGCCGGCCGCCGTCGCTGCTGCCGCCGCGCTGCCGTCGGCGCCAATCGCCGTGGCGCCACCGCCGCTGCCTGCCGCTG